AAATTGAATACAGTATTGGATCGAAGGTCAAGAATTGCCTCTGCCAAACCTGGAGGTTCTTCTGGTATGTTACTAATTACACATTAACACAGACACAGACAGACATACACATTTAGAACTGGAGGTTCTTCTGGTATGTTAGTAATTTCACATTTAAAAGGATTTACAACCCAATTTACAGTTTGTACATCAAGATCTGGAAAGTAGTCAGAGAACCGCTCTTTGAGTTTGGTAAAATAAAATTAGAAAAATTTTCCTATTACCCAAAAAAATCATTTTTACCCCATTTTGGGTAATTTACCCCGGTTCCCCGACCGCTGCCTTAGATGATTTGTTGATGCATTATGGAACATTGCTAATATAAGATTGCACCAAAGCTTTGAAATAAAGACAGTAGAAGATACTGCCAGATTTCTCCAAGAAATACAAGAACAGGCTTGATTCGCATATGATTTTGTTTGCGGTCAATCTTTTGGAAAACGGGGTGACATCAAGAAGATTGAAGCATTTGAAGTCCTTGGATTTTCAATTTAGATTTGACTAAAAAATAAAATGTTGTAAGGAATACTGTCACTGGGCAGCAAGTTTCTAGTGTCAACAGCAAAATATGGCAAAAAAATACATGTTAATGAAAAGATAATGTATTTTTCGGGCGAAACGGTATATCGAATTATAAGGCATTATAAGTCAATTTCCTTATGTAAAAAGATACGTTTTATTCACAGAAAGAGATTTGACATTTTTAAGAATATAAATATCTAATCGTATTTTAAAATATATATTGTTGTCTACAAAATGAATGTTCTAATTTGTTTACATAGGAATACTTCATTTTTGATCCTTCTTCTCATTTAAGAAATAAAATGTGTTCATCTATCAGACAATTACCTAAATTGCAAATATATTGTTTTAATGATGACATTAACGATTAAAGAAATGACAGATGTTGAAAAGCAGTTTTTCAATCTTTTCTGATATTTCGTACTGATCTTTTATAGCAATTTTTTATTATTTCCAAATAATTTTAAAGATTTTGTAAGACAATTATTTTTTTATTCTAATATAATTCCACATTTATTGCAATAGCTAAATAAGTAAATATACTATTACATTTCTAATTATATTTCTCAATTTTATCTTTATTTAACATAGTAAGTTTTTATTTTATTTAATGATAACTCGAAAATTTGTAAGACAACTTTCAGGATTTATTTGATTGTGTCACCGAATACAGAAATAATAACAACATAAAAAGTTTTATTAGAAAGTCAAAAATTATATGTAATGGATTTTTAAAAGAATAAAGATAAAACTAATAATGTTATTATAGTTATATACAATTATTTTTTAACTTAAATAGTCAAATTTATTATGTTAAGTTTAACATACTATTTTTCTACAATTATCCATCAACTTTACAACTATTACAGAATTGAGTATTAAAAGATAGATTTGATTTTTTATGTAAAACGTCTCAGTTGAAGAAGTATTACTATCCTAGTATATAAAAAAACTTTTTTGTTTGTAAATATTCAAATTGTATTTCTAATTACTTTGTAATTTATATATTATATTTTAGTGGTTTGTAAATATTAATATGTTTATTAAATTTTAGTTAATATTGTAATAAATATAATTATTAGGCGGAAAGACCTAGGTCGTTAGCCCTTTGGCCAGCCTATTAATATATATTTTCTTTTATTTTATGTTAGAATTTATTTATGTATAGAATGAACTTTTTCTTCTTATGTATTGATTTTTGGACAATAAATTATTATTATTATTAAATATTTTTATTTATAAATGCTACAACTATATAACAACAGAAGCTTAACTATTTAATTGTCTATAGAGCGGTAATGTAATTCTAATAAATAAAAATTAAGGTATATAGTGAAATAATATAATTTACAGCACGTTTGATATAAATATAAAAAATGTAAGAAAATAAATTTGCGAAAATAATATTCAGTTCTTTGGAATTTCTTCATTTTTGTTTTGCACTAGAATAGGGTTCTAAAAGTACACAGTCAAATTTGAATTCTCGGTTACTTTTGGCGAGCTGTCGATGTTATTCAGATTGTCCGTGCTATCGGAGTCAGTCTGCAAAGAGAATAAAATAAAAGAGGTCAAATTTATAAGGAATTGAAGGTAAATGAATTAGGTTTAAACCTTATCATCGTCCCAACTTAATTTCTTAACTCTTTGCGAGGAAGCAGATTGCGGCCAATTCGGAGGTTGCGGCGCAGGATGTACCTTCGGGCTGGGAATCCGTGCTTTGATTGAAGCTAATCCCTCGACGGTAGGGACTCCACCCATCGCTGTAGCAGTTGGAGATCTGCTCACATTCAATTGGCTTCTGACTCCTGCAAACATTGGATTGCTTATCTTCTCCACCATCGGAGGTGATGTGGAAACGGATTTTTCTGGCTCGAGCGACGGTAATTCCTCTCTGTTTCTATTTCTTTTCCTACAAAAGAACAGTTATTAATGTTTATTTACGAGTCGAAGGAAATCAAAGAAGTGGAACGTTCGCATTGTAAATACGTATTTTAAGACTGATCTCCTTCCTCTGTTAAAATGCATCGCCTTTGGGAATTGCGAATATTTATTAGATCTCGCTTTAGGTTTCTTATTAATTTCGAAAGAAGGTCAGAGAAAATACTTACGCCTTGCAGATATATGCGATGAGCAATGCAATAACGAAAGCGAGGACGAGCAAGATTCCACCTAAACCGGCCAGGATTAACGGACCGCCGTTTGATTTCGCGCTGTTCACGACAGCTCCAGTTTTTCCAGCAACCGGAAAATGTACCGTCACTGGGACGCTTGAAGTCCTCTGTGGTTCTCCGTTATCTGTTGCTATCACAGCCAAAGTTGCTATTCCTTCAAATTTTCCACCTTTGATCAATTTCAATTCTCCGAATGGACTGATAGCAAACAACGAAGCATTCAATCCGGCCAACGTCAATACAATTCGATCACTCTTGTCACCGTCTGCTGCTTCTATTTTTCCAACAATTTCATTTTCTTGACCGGAAACAAAGAATTCGTAATGGGGATAACGAAACCTCGGCTCCCATTCATTAACGTCTTCCACGCTTACATTAACAACGGCAGAATCATTCTAGAAAATAAAATACACGTTACACTATTACATCTAACAAAACAAAGTAAGGTATAAAGCAATAATAAAAAAAAATGGATAAAGTTGAAAATTTCGAAAACCGGTTTTTTAATTTTAATAGAATTGATACTGATATTAACTAAATATGAATTCTATTTTTTTTTAGAAAATTAACATTTTTTACTTAAAACCATTCATCTTTTGATATGAAATTAAATTTTGAGAACCAATAAACTAAGAGTAATCAGTAAGATTCTCTATTTCATACAATGCAATGTTTGAATATTAAAAATATTGATGAGACGACCTCTTATATTTCTTGAAATCATATTTCCTTAAGAATAATACTAAATGAAAGAAAAATTATACGCGTTTATATATATTTTATTTTATGTTGTTATACGTAATTACAATTTTTAGTGTTTCAATTATATTGTATTTTATTTTAATAATAATTCCGATTGAAACCGTTTTTCTTCCGTCAATATGTGTTTAAATCTTAAGAACTACATTAATTACCGTGATTCCATCAGTCGCAAAAACCTTGAAGACATATTCGTTCCTCTCCTCGAAGTCCAACTTCTTTCTCAACCCAAGTTCTCCTCTGGTATTGATACTGAAAACTTTCAACAATCCCTGCTCCGAAACAAAGTACCTCAAATGCTCTCCCGGTCTGTTATTAGAAAGCATGGTCAAAACAGCTCCAGGTGGCAAAGCTTCAGACGCCCGCACGTAGAAAACATGTTTTAAAAATTTTAAACTGCTTTGGAATTTCTTGTACACTGTAAGGGTCGACAGTGCATATCGATCCGGATTATCCTGCTGCGTCGCTTTAATAACCAAAGTCGCCGGATGCATTAAATCGTTCTCCGTTAAATCTTTTCCAATGGACACTCTCCCAGTGATTCGGTTAATTTTGAAATACGAATTATTCCCATTGAATGAGTAATAAACTGGAGCGTTGATTCCCAAGTCTTGATCATAGGCTTTGATTTCCCTAGGCTTCAAAACTAAATTTGCGCCGCGTATCGGCAAATCCGGTATAGTTGATGTGTAATTGTCATCTAGAAATTTTGGATTTTGATCATCCGCATCCACCACGTGCACAGTGAGGACTGTATCCGTGGATTTTGGAGGTTCGCCATGATCTTGTGCTCGAATATTCACATCGAAGCTGCGTAACTTTTCATAGTCCAAAGGCTTCTTCAGTACAAGAGTGCCCTCCAACTCGTTCTCAAATTCAAAGTAATTTGAGTTGGGACCAGGTAAAACTGAGTATTTTACACTTGAGAATGGGCCCTGCTGATCTGCATCAATAGCGTGGACACCTTGAAGAACTCTTGTCCCAACTACAGTCACCTCCGAGATGTTAAGAACGTACGGTGCATTGATAAACTCAGGTGCATTATCATTAGCATCCGTCACTCTAATATTTACAGGAATTACGAATCCCGTATCTAAAGTGCGAAGCCTCTCGCAGATCAAGTTTATGAAAACCGAGGAAGGTCCATCGATTCCTTCCTTGTCCAATTGCCGTATTAAAGTCAAGTTTTTTGACCCTGGCGATATATCGATTGGACTATCCGATTCCTTCAGATGCAAAGCTATCGTTCCTCCAGGTCTTGGATCGCCGTGAACACGAACATGACCGATAACCGATCCGATTTCCAAATCTTCCGATACAAAGAAACTCTCGGACGATCCGCCGTTTTCCAAAAAGCAGCGATTATCGGGAACAACTGAAAATTTCGCAAAAATCACTTAATAGCGTAACTGGCAATCAGGAAACGTCGTGCCAATGAAAGCATGACTGGATTGCTAAAATACTAATTATAATAACTGCAAAAAAAGCCTGTGCTATTCCATTGTTATTTCTTTAAGAATAGAAAAAGTTATTACAAAAAATAGGTTACATTCTTTTGAAGATATTTCTTTAACTTTTCAAATAATTTTTCAAAATCGCCGAGTGGTACAAAAAGAAAAATAAAACAATTTTCACACACGTTACTTGCAATTAATTCTTTCATTGTTTTAATTAAAAGAAAACACGTAGTTTCATAAACGTTCTCATTTTCGAGACAGTAAATCTCACTTCTTGGAAAATGAAATTTAATCTGCGACTGTTTTCTTAATGTTTTATACTCATTAGCATACATATGAAAACACGTATCATCTTTATATGATAGTGTGTTTTTGTGAATCTAGTTTTTATTTGGTTCTCACACAAGGTCGAGGAGAGGCATCTTTCGCTTTTGTTTTCAAAACCTATCCCTGCTTTGTGCCGGAAGTGGCGGAAGTATGGTCTTGAGCACCTTTCCGGTTGGAGTGAACCACTCGAGGGTTTCAACCGACTACGCAAATCGTAACGACTCTTATATTGAAGTCTAAGCTAAATTCTTACCTTGACTACGAACCAATGTGAATCCAACGGCACACAGTGCCACAAAAACGACGGCTAGATAATGAGCCATCACCAACACATAACATCTGCAACATAAAGTGAAATAATTATGAGCATCTTCAATCCCGTTTCTTACGTTTAATTTATAATTGAGTTAGTGTTTATTTAACTAATTAATTTCTATGGAAAGTACATATGGTCAGATTCAGCGCTATGAGAACGAAACTATATTTTACGAATACTTTAATTAAATAAAGAAAAATGGGAAGTCGCGGAAAACGAACTAATTTTAATTAAATTTAAGCTAATAATAAAAACCTAATTCTCACCTATTATTAGTGTTATTTACTGTGATTCTTTACACACAATTTGGTTCTAATCTTGTTAACAATTAATAGTTTTATATTACAGTATATTTTTAATTACTATTATACTTGTATATTACAAGCATATATAAATTACCGTTAAAAGTGAAATACCGATACTTGGTAATTAATTCATAGTACATTAACATACTTTAGCTAGGTTAACTATATATTACCTAGCCAAAATTTGAATTAAAAAATATGGAATAAATAAATGTATGCATTATAAATTTAGTAACATGAAATATTTCTTGTTAATAAAAAAATCAAGCAAATATAGTTTATTAGTCTTTTTGCTTCTGTTCTAACGTTACTACTTATTTTTTTTATATCTAATATTATGAAGATATTTGTCATATAAATCTACAATTTTTCAATATCAAATCTTTATATAATATTATATACCAGTATCCCAGATTTAGTTTTTGAAATAACCACTCTATTTATTAATGGTAAACTTTATTTATCTTAAAATGAGTTTTAACTATATATACTAATCTCAATATTAATAGATTGTACATATGTTTTTTTTAGATTAAAATTAAAACCGATTTTTTCTAGAGCACCTTATACTATAATTAATTATCGTATTTTCATCGTATGTAACCTGTGCATGATAAACGTTGCAACATAATTGAAACAGTAATTACAATATTGAGTTTCAAACATATCGAAGGTTTAAACATAATGGTTATTATTTTAACCTATATTGACCTTAAATCTTATGCGAATATTAATTCTTTCACTCGTATGTTTGAAATGTCTGCAACTTGTTTTATTACATGCCTTCACTGCTGCAAACAAGTGGAAGTGCATCATGCAATCTTCGATACTAGGTCAAAAGTTTTATATATTTTTTTTGTATGCATCGAATAACAAAAATGCATTACGGGTCTATCAACCGCATCAATAATATAGGTATTATGTCGGATGCTACTAACTATATGTTAATAATAAAATGCTCTAGTTACGAAGGAAACTTGTTCAAGATACCGTGGTTAATGCAAACTTCCGTAGTTTTCAACATGGTTTCTTCATGTCGAAAAGAAATATATGTACGGATAATGGAAGGAAATACAGATATTGTGCGTAATAATATCGTGAAGCAACAAAGCAAATCGTTAATTAATTAATTGACGCAATTGAGACGAGATCGAATAAAGGATTTCCTTTTAACAGACAATTGGTTAATTGCTACACAATAGTTTTTAGAAAGTTCACAATAACAATTATATTTTTTGTTGTGAAGATTGTTTTACATTAAAATTATTGAGCTATCATCTAGGATGTAGAGGATATCCTCATTGGAAAAAATAATGGTATGGTTATACCTCGCATAGTGCGGTTAATCGGTGCAACTAATATCTGTTTAACCCTTAAATGCCCTAAGTTTTAAATTTGATACCGTACTTTTAAATCGAATTGTACTCTTGCTATTGGTTTTATTTTAATATTTGGCTGTACGTATGTTACCATAATGTTCTTTTGAACAAAAGTTATATATAAAATATGTATTGTGATTTTTTTTTTATTTTCCTTTATCTGGTTACTGCAATAAATACATTGATATTTTTTAAATTTAATTTGAATTGAAACAAATTCAAATTAGCAGTTTGTGTCCCAATTACTGTAAAATCAGTATATTCGCTTTGTTATTTTATTTTCTTTGTTGTTGTATTAATTATATGGCTGGGATAATCTTTGAATGAAGAAATTGGTCAAATGTAAATTAAAATTCGAGTTCTGGCCAAATTAAAGTGTTTTTTCATCTCTGTCCGTTAGACCGTTTGGTTTTCTAGGTTACTCAATTATTTTACACTTCTTAACTTATTGCAACGTTCTAAACTAATTACTGAACTAACATCAAAATTGTGTTAATTTTAAATCGTTAGTTTCTAATCTTAAAACAAGAAAATAATTGATATCTGTATATATTTCTATTAACTATAGTTAATTCAAATATTTAATAATGAATAATATTTTTTATTAACTCATATTTTTATTGAAATAAAAGGGTTTTTTCCATCAGTAATATTTAAATTATATATTAACGATAACAAATTACAAAGATATTTGATCTAAACTACTTAAAAACATATTTTTTAATATGTTATGTTACTTTCATCAAATAAGTTCAAACCAAATTAAGTTTTAAGTTAATTAATTTTATTTGAATATACACTCATAATGATTATTATTTCGTTTATAACTTAATATTTATGTTATGTTTTGATAAAGTAGATAATTTAGTTATATATTCAAAATATTATGGTTAGTTTAATCATAAACGCGTTATATAATAAATATTATTAAACACAAATAAAGTATTTATTTATTAGTTTGCTATAAAGCGATTACGTTACACAATTTACTATGATTGTATTCTTATTTTGATCATTTGAAACTGTATATTAATTTTAGGTTTTTTTATTAATATAAAACTTATTTTACAATTTAATTGTGTTATATTTACCTTTAAATACTATCCATTTTATGTAATTCAAATGACGTAGAGGAATAAAAATATTATGTTCCTGACGGCGCACATGAATTGAAAGGGCAAAGGGTGCTTTCAGAAATTGATGTGCGTATGAAGTTACAATTTGAAAAGCTGATGTCACGTTAATTCTCAAGCGGTCACGTTATGCGAAAACGTTTCAAAAAACTTCCTACTCATAAACTGGATCTATCGAATATAGAACGCGACTAATAAACTACACACCCTCCAATTTTGTGGGCATCGGACTAGACGACTGACACTGCTATTCCACCTGTCCCCTAACACTAAAACTGGCTATTGTTTGGTGGTTACTGTAGAAATGAAGTAATTCGCGTCTGAGTGCGTGCACCTGTTTCTGTGTGCACTCACCGTGTACACAGAAAGAGGAGCTTTCCTTCCTTCCATCCACTCCATAAACACACTCACCCATCGCATGCATTTACAACGATTTCATATTTTCACTGTCAAAAAGTAAATATAAAGATCTTAGATGAAAAGAAACATATATAAATAGTTGAAGAGCAACTACAAGAAGTTTAGATAGGAAAACTTGATATCATTAAATCGCTATGACTCATCCTAGCAATTTACAAATAACCATGGCAATGATGTAGTTGTGTACTAAAAACATCCATATGCTTTGTATGGAGTCATATTATATGTCCATAAATGTCAAATGGCGTAGTCATCGCAATATTCAATTTTATTAACTTATGATAGTTAAGTTGAGAATTATATTTGTATGGGTTACTTGCAGCCTTTATCATCTATAGAAATGTAGACTTACAAAAGAGCCGACTTCACATACAACTATTCTTACACATATAAAACATACACTAAAATATAAATATGTTATCATTTAAAAATTACAACAAAATAAATGGGTAGGAAGACCAATGCACTTTGGTCCAAATTAGAATCAATCAAGATGATCATTAATAATCTATGGTTAATTTCAAAGGTTTTGTGTTTGATGTACCTGTATTATTTTGTTTACTATGGTAATATGACCGTGGCGATAAATAATATTACAGCAGAATGACTTATGGTCAAAAGCCATTTGTAACAGTTAATCATTAATAAATACGTTTTATATTCTTTATTTAATTTTTATAAAATATATTCTACGTTTTTAAATTTTCGGATATATTTACATATGCGCAGTATATTTAAATCCATTTACATATTCACAGTTCTTATTTAATTACAAACAATTTATTTTACATATCCGCTTGGTTTTCAAGGTTGGTTTTATCTATATTGTAAAGTTTTTTGAAATTTGTAGTTTATTATTTTATTGCAATATTTTTTTTATTGATTTTTTTTTTAATGTCATTTATAATAAAATTATCATCATTAATTGATTTATAGATATTACAAAATATGAAAATTACTGCATTAACAATACTTTAGTACACAATATTATATTTTATTTGTGATAGGTTCGGTAAAATTACCGAAATAACTTAAATTATTTAGTGCAAATTAAACTATATTTAGAAGGATTAAGAATTTTACTCATTGATCATTGAAACAATATTTTTATTCGTAAATAAATTAAATACGTTCCGCTTAGTTCAAACTTAGTTAAAACTTGTCAAATTCGATATTCATAATCAAATCATTTTCAGTACTTGGCGAATTCTTGGAACATGTGAATGCAAAATTGTTTCTTTGCCCACGACTTTTATTTTTTTATCGCGAAAAACACATTTGTGTAAAACTAGTCAAGTAAAATACAAAACATAAATATTAAAATGTTTAGTTTTACATTGTTTCTTATATTTGTTCGGAATTTGTCGATTTCGCTACTCTACAAAGTTCCGAAAAAAAATACTGACAAGTCTACAAACATTATAACTTTCTTGTCGATAACAGAATTTATTTAGATATATTTTTTTATTTAATTTAATAAATAGTTAATAAACAAATAGATATCTTATTAAGAAATACAGCAATTCTTCGCTTTGTCCGAGGAATTCTTTCAGCCGATATACTGTTTGAAACCGCACTAATCAAGGAACTAAATACATTGTAGTTTTATTGCAAGATGAGCATATTGTTGACCATATTGTCAACTGCCTCAAGTTGAATCTAGACAATTATTGTATTATTGTAATAAAAAATAATTAATGTATAATTGTAAGTAAAATATAGATAAAATAAATAATTTTTGAATAATCGAATACAATATTTGAATGCACCCATGACATAATCCAGTTCTCATTCTAAGCAATTTCATTCAAAAAGCACACGTTGCATGCCGCTTGTTACTCTTCTAAGCGAGCTTTATTCGAAAAATGATCAATAATCATACCATTTCGCAAGAAGTAAAATGGAAAGATAAATCATATATTGAAACCTTATAAAAACGCATACTATTATATTAAAAACTTAATTATACTATACATTGCACTCACTGAAATCTTAATAAAACAACAGCTTCTATATAAATTGCCTGACAGTTATATAAATAAATATACTTAACCTCTATATAATGTCAACATAAAAATGTAATTAATTCTAGATATAAAATATTCATACAAAACAACAATTCATCAAAATTTTACATCATATATTTACTTCTTACTTCTCGATTATATTATTTCTTAGTAAACATTGTCTTTCTCTCTTCAAAATAGTAATATTTCATCAAATTTTAGACCACAAAATATTAGCAGAAAATATTTTTTTGTTATATTTGTAATTACTAAAATCCAGACAAATTTAAAATATATGTATCTAATATACAGTTCAACTTTGGTTTGCTAATACAAAACGTTTGTCCCGAAAACATTTTTGTGATCCAAGTACGATTTCCCACAATCTCACGAACCTTATGATAGTGATGATACGAAGTGATGATAAACAAAGCGTATTGCAAGATCTCGCTTGTTTATTAAGTTAAAATCCTTTTTATTTGGTAGTCTCACAAAATAATTGCAGATCCAGTTACAAGAAATCCTGGGTTCCACTGTATTTGTGAACAGAACAAAATAACGCAATAATTGTTTCTGCATTTATTGTAAACACTTTACAAAATATATTTTTTAGTAGTATTGTGATGTAAAATGTACAAAACTTAAAATTGGCAAACATTTACAAAATTGGATATAATTGTGGTTAAAATATTACTATTTTTGGTAAATATTTAATTTGATACCTATATTTATTGACGATTAATATACTTTATTTCGCATAATTATAAATAAATATATAAAAACTTCATATTATGTATTTTAACTATTTGTAATAAATTAAGAGTTACTTTATAATAAGTTTTAATATTGTTTACACATAATGGAAAAAGTTCTGTAAGACTTAAATGTTTTTCAGGTGTACCAACTAATATTAATTATAGATCATGGGTTCGATGATAATAAAATAATTAATTATTGTCAAAGTGGTGTCAAATTTTGCATTTTTTTTTTGACATAAGACAGTTTTCAAAAGTTAAATAAACAATTTCACTATTTAAATTTTGGACAAATGACGAATAAAAGCTTTTTCTTTATTTCTTTCTTATTTGTAAAATATACATTCTACGCATGTAAATATTTCCAATGAACTTATATGAGTGAATTGTAATGCATTTTTGTCAATGAAAATAAAATCAATACAGGTAGACATTATTTGGTGTAGTGTTCATCAAGCGAGGGCGTCGAACGAAACTGAAAAAAAAATTACCCACATAAAATGTACATTACTCATAACGTAATGGATTTATAATATATTTTATCATGTAATAGACAAAAGCAAGGTATAAATCTTGTTAATACCACCAAATTACGAACTTATCCATGCAAAACACTTTCTTCATAGTTCCCAGTATACCTTTTAGGATAAACCACTGTTGCGGAAACAGACAAATAGCGCATCAATTTAACTATAAATAATTGTTTTCTTTCCGCTTCAACTATTCATGCATACTATTTAAATTAATCCGCAGTTTTCTCTTGAAACAAATTGAAAACTGTGTCAATGATGAATAATTTTAATGTCAATTACAAATGTAAAAAATAAATGAATGCATGCATTAAATAATTTTGCACTAGTTTACAATTAAAAGGAAACTGAACATATAAGAAGTTTCTAAGCACCCGAGCAATGAATTTGTAAAAGTGCAACGGGGAAAAGTCCGGATGTTTGCTACATTAATTTAAATAATTATGCGCATATTCTAAAGACTAAGAACAAGATGAGGATATTTTTTGCCAATGCTTTATAGGTTAATATATTAATTTTTTACAATTCTCTGCATAATTTGGTAATAGTACAATTTATTAGAATGTATTGCAATTTAATTTACGAACGCAAAGAAAGTAATATTGCTAATTTTAGAGAAATTAATTGATTGATTGACTATTTGGATTTGAGCCGATTGGAGCGATAGCGCCAAATCGGGTACCGCATTTGGAGGGGCCTCGCAGAACATTAGCACATTTCGAAATTGTTCTGTCAGATTCAAATAGTAAATAAATATGATACATTTATTGATATTGTGAAGGAAACACACTTAGACGGTAATATGTTAGTCGAAGAAATAGTAGCTCTAAAATCTATTCTTTGATCAAAATATTTCCAGCATCCATCCATTTAAAATATTTCAATTTTTATCTGAAAAGGACAGATTTACAGCATTTCCAAACTTATTTATAGCCCTTCGTTGCTTCTTTAGATTAAAACTTATAAAAACTATCTCAGATCGACAATGACTCAGGATAGATTAAACAGTTTAGCGATCATGTCGATTGAGAGTCAAGAAGCAAACCAGTTGGATTTTGATACTATTTTAGAAGATTATTCAGAAGAAACTTCGGAATATGTAAAACATCTCTTTATAGGATCATATTCTATAAAATTCATTGTGTTTATATTTGGTACAGGTTTTTAATGTAGAATTTGTCTACCTTATAGTTCTTAACTTTTGATTTTTATAATTGGATTTTGGATTTTGTTTTAAATAAATAATTTAAATCTATATTTAAATATGTAAATTCTAACTGTTAATTCATTTTGTTATTTAAAGTTTGAGGGGCCCCGAAAAAAAAAACAATTAGGCCTCGCATTGGATCCTGCACGGTCTATAACGCAAACCTTTAAAATCGCTCGACAACTGATAATACTATAAACGGATCGATTTAGTAAAAAAAAATAAGAAAAATCCTATAGAAATATACTTACCATTAACATTATTTGGCCATATCTATAAGCATATGCATCAAATCAAAAATTTAGTTGATACAGACAGACTACAATGGAGTACTTTATTTAAAGTTACAATTGTCATTTACTTTGAAAATTATGTTTGTATTATCTACGGATAATACTATAAACGGATCAATTTGGTAAAAAAAATCAGAAATATCCTATAGAAATCTACTTATTAACATTATTTGGCCATATCTATAAGCATATGCATCAAATCAAAAATTTAGTTGATACAGACAGACTACAATAGAGTATTTTATTTAAAGTTACAGTTGTCATTTACTTTGAAAATTATTTTTGTATTATCAACGGATAATACTATAAACGAATCAATTTGGTAACAAAAAAATCAGAAAAATCCTATAAAATATTAATAACTATATTTGACCATATCTTTCAAATCAAAAATTTACTCCATACAGACAGACTACAGTGGAGTACTTTATTTAAAGATACAGTTGTTATTTAATTTGAAAATTATATTAAAAAATCTTATATAAAATAATGTTAGTTTTGTGAGTTTATTATTACTATCGAAAAACTTTTAAATTACACTTTGAATATCGATTTATACAAGGTGTATTTTTTTTATTAGTAGAAGCATGAAGACTACTTTTAAAACATATTTTTTTATATATTTAGGAGCTTATATATATGTAATTCTTTAAAGTATGTTTATGTTTGTCAACAAATTATTATATTATTGCAAATATAGGTATGACTCGGCTCCTAAGAACTATATGGACGATGAAATTGATATAAAGTAAGACAAAACACATCTAGATATTTTATATTCTGGATTTTCGAAAAATAATGTATTGATTGCAAAGTGGAATAGACTAAAAATATAAAACTATTTGCAGACCATTAATTGACTATGGTCATGGAATTATGCACAACTGTTCTCCCATGACGAGGGGAATGTTGGAGATCACTCAACGATGATCAACCCAACATAAACCATAGAATTGGTTTCCATAAATAAAAGAATTAAAATCTTATGAGTACACCAGACTATCAAGAGAAATTTGAAATTCAAAGATGACAAGGTATGAATATATCATATATATTATATATGTATGATGAAATTCAAAAGGCAATAGACTTATTTTAAATATTTTGTTCATATTCTATATTTAATGAATAAAAGTTAGTTACCTAGTTCAAAGTAGTTCAGATATAACTCATTTGTTGTTTGATGCTTAATTATAAATTGATTATAAAACACAGAGTTTATAATTTTAAATGTCTGCATTATATATTTTTGTTTATAGATTAAATACAAACTAAATACAGTTCGGTAATAAAATAAACAGTTAAAAGCTTTGGATGAAAGTAAAATTCGCTCAGATGTAAATAAAAAGTTCGGTAATCTATATGTATTGTTAGTATATTGTTAGATTTATAAGTGCGACAGTGAGAGGATTTAATTCAAAACACACCGATCGCAACGTGACTTTTGTTCCACGTGATGAATTGGACCAATCGGCTCCAGTTCTTCACAAAGGTCACGTTGCGAGCGCCGTGGATGTACAAATTTGCAATTTCAATTTGCTCAGTACTAGTCATACCACATATCCTGTATCTGCTCAGTTAATAATATACTGATAAAAAACGTTAATCAAATTATTAAAAAGAAAGAAAAAGTACGCGCTATTTTATTAAGTTCAACATCATCTAATAGAGTTTTGAATTTTGTCTATAGTTTTTAATTCGAATCATACAATTCGCCGTAGAAAATACAAAAGTTCGAAATCAAAGTTTTGCCTAAAATGTTCAATTTGGAAGTAGATACATGAACTCTCATGTAGGTCCTAGTCGGGGGTGTCCTCCCGACAAACACATGGTGCATTGGTTCCGTAAAGGTCTTCGACTACACGACAATCCTTCTCTAAAGGAAGGTCTTAAGGGTGCCACCACTTTCCGCTGTGTCTTCGTCTTAGATCCGTGGTTTGCTGGATCCTCAAACGTTGGCATTAATAAATGGAGGTAAAGTGAAAGTTTTTAATTTATAATAATATTCATTAATAACAACACTTTTAAAGTTTCTTTGAAATTCAATGCATGGACGTATCACGAACTTTTGTATAAAAAACGTAACTTCTTTATAAAGAAAATAACATCATCAATGACCTATAGATTTTCTTACATAAAATTAGCACATATTAAATTATGTTAAAAGCGTAAAATCATAATTAGAAATTGCCACAGTGTGTAATAGATAAATATAAGCGGAAATTGTAAAATAATCACTAGTTAGTAATTGTTATAGAAAATATATATTTCTCTTTTGTGTATACGACTATTATTGTACCCAATCGATAATATGTCATTTTAGTTAATACATTTTTAATAGTAACAATAAGAAATGTTCAGTATTACATAAAAATCATCCAGTTTTATTTTATATTTTTTCATAGTTTTATTTTAAATAAATTCATAATAATAATAATTTTTATTGCATCAGTCGTACAAAAAAACATATACAGAAATAAAAAGAACAAAATAAATATATATATAATTTCTGCCTTTAAATAAATTAATATTGTAAATTTAAGATTTCTTAGTAAAAAAGTAGTATAGCAACATTATAATTGCTTTGCAATAATTATAAATAATAACTTTTCTTTCTCATATATTTTTTTTTGCTAAAATATGTATAATACGTTCAATTTTATTTATTTTATTGTTCAGCCACGCGGTGACTATAGTGAAACATTTCATTTAAATAATAATCCGTGAACAAAATCTATTGGTCTGCATTAAAGGAATGCATACCAACTTTTACAAATTCGAAGGGCAATTCGTTGCGCAATAGAATAATTTAAATGACTCTTATTGCATAATATTGTTCAGTAAAACAGCATACGTAATTACGCTCGATCGCTTCGTCGACCTTATGCAACGCACTATCGTTTATTTCTTTCATCAGTTGCATGTAGCATATCCGTAAGGTAATTGAACGTGTAAATTACATAATCAGTATGAACAAATAAATAATAAAAAATGGATATATCATGAAAATTATGAATATTTGCAGGTTCTTGTTGCAATGCTTGGAAGATCTAGATCGAAACTTGAAAAAGTTAAATTCGCGTCTTTTCGTCATTAGAGGACAACCGGCTGATGCCTTACCAAAACTGTTCAAAGAATGGGGAACGACGTGTTTGACCTTTGAAGAGGATCCAGAACCTTTTGGTCGAGTCCGAGATCACAATATTACAACTCTCTGCAAAGAGTTGGATATCACCGTGGTGCAACGAGTTTCGCATACCTTGTACCATCTACAGAACATTATTGATAAAAACAATGGACGAGCTCCTTTAACCTACCATCAATTCCTTGCAGTAATTGCAGGCATGGATGCTCCACCAACACCTGAATGTTTGGTCACCTCAAAAGCTTTGAATGGGGCGTACACTCCAATATCGGAGGATCATGATGAAAAATACGGAGTGCCGACGCTTGAAGAATTAGGTTTCGATACAGATGGTCTGTTACCACCAGTCTGGCAAGGTGGTGAAAGTGAAGCTCTGGGTAGACTAGAAAGGCACTTGGAGAGGAAAGCTTGGGTGGCATCGTTCGGACGACCCAAGATGACACCTCAATCATTATTACCTTCGCAAACTGGTCTCTCGCCCTACTTACGTTTCGGGTGTTTATCAACCCGATTGTTCTATTACCAATTAACCGATCTGTACAAGAAAATCAAAAGAGCTTTTCCTCCTTTATCACTTCACGGCCAATTGCTTTGGAGGGAGTTTTTTTATTGTGCAGCAACGAAAAATGCAAATTTCGACAAGATGATTGGTAATCCAATCTGCGTGCAAATACCTTGGGATAAAAATGCTGAAGCTTTAGCGAAATGGGCTAATGTAAGTGTGGAATATTTTGAAATAATCAAGAACGAATAAAATCGAAATTTACTTTAGGGTCAAACAGGATTTCCATGGATTGATGCCATTATGACACAATTACGAGAGGAGGGATGGATCCATCATCTTGCGCGTCACGCTGTAGCGTGTTTCCTGACGCGCGGGGATCTATGGCTTTCGTGGGAAGAAGGAATGAAGGTTTACTATTAAATAACTTGAACTTCGATCAATAATGTATTAAAGGTTTTCGAGGAACTTCTTTTGGATGCGGATTGGTCCGTGAACGCAGGGATGTGGATGTGGCTTTCATGCTCCAGCTTCTTCCAGCAGTTTTTCCATTGCTATTGTCCGGTGAAGTTTGGACGAAAGGCGGATCCGAATGGCGATTACATAAGGTTTCTGTATACTATAGTAATTACGAGAAAAATACAATAAAATCTACATGATTCATTTACAGAAAATATTTACCAGTATTAAAGAATATGCCCGTGCAATATATCCACGAACCTTGGACAGCGCCTGAAAACGTTCAACGGGCAACAAAATGCATCATCGGGAAAGACTATCCATTGCCAATAGTAAATCACGGCGTTGCTAGTAGGATCAATATCCAGAGGATGAAGCAAGTTTACCAACAACTGACTAAATACCGGATATTGGATAGGCATCATAGTTGTTCGACACCAATGAAATCATATAAGGATGGTTATCAAGCGAGAGCAGTCACTGTCGGCAATTCAAACGATGACTAATAACTTTAAAATAATTTTCGTTATAGATATTTAAACTTATTCGAACGCTCTAAGACTGACATTAATATAATCTCCAGTAAATGTTTGTACTTCCTAACATCTTGTATCGCATAAATTCATAATAATAAATATTCAACAACACTGTTTATTTCTACACATTTAGTTGAAGACCTTGGATAATGTTAATCGTTATTTATGAAAGTAAGAGTCAATTGATTTTAGTATAATTATATTATGTACGCTAAGCAAATGTATAGTGAATTCCCATATAAATGCATTTTTTTGTGAAACGTACATAGCCATGGAACGCCGGCTTAAATTACTGAAATTATATTTTATTTGTATTGAATGTATTCATTAAAAATAATCATATAACTCATGATTTTTTAATGTCGATTACTTTTATTATAAAATGGACTTCAATTATGTAACAACTACAAGAATATATTGCAGATTGAAACTATATACAATATTAGAATGTATAAGTAACTATATAGATAAATAAAGTATCAATCAACAACTATTAAAATTATTTATATTTATATCAAGCAACTAAATATATATATTAAGGCATGCCAATATATTGATTATTCAATTGATTGCTATCGATATAAGTAGTTATAAAACAAACGTTTTGGCCATCTTCTGTTAAAAATTGTATTTTATCCTCTTGGAGTTTCTGATTATCATCTTCCAAAAGCTGTATATTCTCTTGCAGCAAATCATCGGTTAAAAGACTGTCGGTCTTCTACAAAAAATATTTTAATTATTAATTAAAATAATCAAAATAAATTATAAAGTATATCACTTACATTTTTCAATGGCATTTCCGCTGAAATGGGTTTTCCATCTTGCATAGTTAAATTAATTGGTACCAAGGTACCATCCGGTAATAATCCTTGGATGCACGGCTCTTCAGCTCCAATCGTGGTAACAACTTTTATTTGTTGTCCATCTGAGGTTGTTAAATTAATAGCATTTCCTTCTGTATCAATTAACTGTTGTAATTGTACGTCTATAGACATTTCGTTCGCATTCTCCTGGGGAATTAAATCGTCTTCTTCGAAAATGTTGTTCGGCATTTTATCTGGAGCTTCATTATCAACAATATGTACCATCGTTTGAGGCTGTTCATTGGAGTTACCATCTTGGTAAGCCAAATACAATATTTGATTTGTTCCTAAACATAACAAAGATTATATAGACTTAGCAAATGAGATGTAAAAAAAGTAAAATTTTGTAAGCTAAATAAATTATACTTTACTAATAATACTAGTTGTTCATTCTTTTCTCTTCAATTGTCAATGTGACACTTCAAAATATAATTTTAGTTAATCCGAATATCATTTACAGTCAAATCAAAATTGTAACCTGATAGTTTATCTTAAGGGTTAGCAAACTTTTTGGATTTTTAAGATATTCTGTTAAAATAGTTTAAGATCACTATTTTTACCAGTGAAATGAATTTTCACTGCTGTCAGAGGCACGTGTTGTCAACCCCTTGTCTATCTAATCAATATTGAGTTTGAATATTAGCTTCTTAATACATTATAACCTTACCTTGTTCAGTATTAGTTGCCACAGGCGCTTCAACTGTTTGTTCTTTATCCTTGTTCTTGTTCCAATGAATCTTTTTATGCTTTGTTAGATTAGAAGCATCAGCGAATGATTTTAAACATATGTCACACAAGTATGGTTTTTCACCCGTGTGAAGTCGTTGATGTTTCTTCAAAGCCCAATGTTCAGTGAATCCTCGTAAACACTGCAAAATAACTTATGTAAATAATGCTATACTATCAAAATAAATCTAAGAAATAAACCTGTTGACACTGATAGGGCCTCTCGTTCCTATGCCTACGCGTATGACATTTCCAAGTATCCTTATGTAAGAAAGTTTTTGAACAATACTCGCACCTCCAGGGCCTTTCGCCCGTATGCCTCTTCACGTGCAATTTATATTGGGACGAAGTGGTAAACTTCCTTCCACAGAAACTGCAAGCGTAAGGCTTTTCTCCTAAAATAAACAAATAATTAGAAATAATTTCGAAAAGCATTTTTCTAAATCGAACCTGTGTGTATCCTCTTATGTTCAGCCAAATTTCCTTTTTGCGAAAATGTTTTCATACAGACATCGCACTGATACGGTTTCTGTCCATTATGCCATCTCGTGTGCAAAGTTAAGGAAGTTTTGTGAGCAAACGATTGACCGCATTGCGTACAATAATATTTCTTCTCCCCCGTATGCGTTGGCATGTGGTTCAATAAATTGGCACGCGTTTTGAAGCTGGCTTCGCAGTGTTTACATACGTGAGGCCTTTCATTCGTGTGCACCAATTGATGACGCAAAAGTAATTGTTTATGCTTAAAACACTTTTTACATTTGTTGCAGATAAATTTCCTGCCGTTATTGTGTTCCGCCTCTTTATGGTACACAAGGCTACTCGGATGGTTGAATACTTTCTCGCAAGTATCGCAGGGATAACTTTTATTAGTATGTTGAAGCATATGGCATTTCAAACTATTCAAATACGGAAACTTTTTATCGCATTTATCGCACTCGTACGGCTTTTGATTCTCATGTACTGCGTTCATATGGATCTCATAATTCTGTTTGCAAGAGAACGTTTTAGCGCAAGGAACGCAATTGTATTTCACTTCCGGCTTAGGTGAATCAATCGTTTTAGTTTCTTCTAAAATTTCAGGCAAATTTTCACTAATTTGCGGCAATTCAACCTGACCCTAAAATAGCAATTAATATTGATTTCATTTTATTTACATTTTCCAACTTACATAATTTGCCAATGATTCAATTAAAGTTGTACCACTATGATTATTAATTTGCTGATGACCCTCAAGCGCAGATTTTGTTTCAAATTCTATAGCACAATTTTCAGTGCCACATTGATATTTAATGTTTTTATGGAAAGATTTGTGTATCTCCAATCTGCCTTGATGCAGAAACTCCCTGCCACATATATCACATTCATATTTTTCCTTTGGTTTATTTGCTAAAAAAATACAATACTATTATAATGTTTTTATAAACATTTTTCTTTTAATTATATACCTGATTCCAATTTGCACTTATTCCTTGTCTTGTTAGCATTTTTAGATATCACTAATTGAGCTAAATTTTCACCATTTACATCTGCCATATGCCCAATAACTTCACCAGTTCCAGCACCATTCTCTAATAAATGCAAATTGCTATCACTTAATACTTCATCCTCGTCAAAAACACCTACTTCTTTAAATACCCTATCTAACTCTTTGCCCTAAAAAAGTGATTGTTTAGTAAAATCATTCCAAAATGATTCAATAAATTTTACTTGTAACAGCTCAGAATATCTTGATGGTTTTTTTATTCTCCTTTTTCTTTTTCCATCAATATCAATTTCATTGTCATCTTGTTTTACTTCTTCAACAATTTCGAAAGGTTCTTCTTCAGCAAATGTATTGGCAGATTTTGGTGGCCTGCCACGTTTCTTTTTGGGTTTCTCCAAACCTTCAGTTCTCAGTGATAATTCATGCTCGGGTGGGAATAAAGGACCCTCAGATAGAACTATAATTCAGATATAAATTAAATGAAAACTTTAGAAGAAGTTGGTATGTTTACTCTGTATAAATATTTTCTCTCCAGTCTCATCGGACTGCAATGAGTAGGTTTGCACTGAGCTGCTCGGGTTAACAATTTTAAGGGCATGTTCCAGTTGCACCTTCTGCTTCTCTTGTCTTTTCAATGTTTCCTGTTGCAGTTGTAACAAGTCCCTCAATTTCCTCTGACCATCTATAATCAAGTCAAAAAACGACTTTGTTGCTTCCAGTTGAATGGTGCAGCCAGGGCAGAGAGTGCAAGGAAACTTTCCATCTTTGTCCACCTGCAAAACGACAATTACAATAATATTTGAAAATATTGCGCGCCGGAAGTGGAGAATTAAGTGAATGAAAAAAGCACTGGATGTATTTTAATGAACATTGAGAATCGCGAGTCAAGTTGTATACCGTGTCATGAAGGACTTACCTTTATAGGTAAATATTTGTTGACGAGATCACTTAAATTTTCCTTGGACTCGTCTTGTTCGAAAAGAACGGTACCGTTTTCGTTTTCCTCGCCGCATAATCGACAAATCGTTGAATCACACAATAAAACTGGGCCCTCCATATTGGTTTCGACGCCATGACAGCTGTCAAACGACGTGAGAATATGAATATTCGCTCATGTCACCACGTGACTACCGGTTTTTAATTTTAAAAACTAAACTAATCTTTGCTATTTTTTACTGGAATGTTTAAAATTGATTAATCTATGGATTAAATAATATATCAAATCAAATAAAATAATCTTAAAACGATGTTCTTGCTATAATTAATAATTAAGCGTTTACGTCTGATTCTCAAATCTGTCCAAGTTCAATAAGAACATTGGTATTATTATATTTGAAAAACTTTTAAATATTCGCACAAATATTACTATTTTATTTATACGTTTATAATTTTTCAACTAGTGTAACTAAATTTCTTTCATTTTAAAATAATTAGTCTAATTTGATTGACAATCAATTGTTGTACTCGTAAGTACAGTTGAACTTCGCGTAACGTTTTGAACAACGTTTTAAAAACCTCTTTAAAGCAAATACTAACGTATTATGGATATTAATGGATTTTACTTTACTAAAAGTTTTAGAAAAAGTTATGGATAGTATATGGAAATAGAATAATATGGAAAGTTCATGGCGATGTTTCACCAATATTCAAAATCAAAACTTTTATATATTAATGTGTAATATGAGTTATTCTCGATTGATGTCTTGATTTCATCATGTTACCAGACATTCTGCATGGTCTTTAAGGCTGAAATCAAAAGCACTAAAGCAAATCACTTTAAAAAAGTTCTTTCATGTGAAACAACTTTTCAATAAACAGAATATAACTTAGTTATTGCTTTAGAGGCATTTTTGCTTTTCAGTAATGGAAAAGTCACCTTCTTGACTAAACTGACATAAATCATATGAACCGAACCGACCTTTTTTCCAAAAACGGTCGATTGGGTAGATATGTCACCTATCAGAATATGTACACAAGACATTATGACGAAAGGGCTTTCGAGCCAAGTATTTCCGCCAATATAAACAATATAGTATGATATTAATAAAAAAAACATATAATTGTTTATTGAAAGAATATTAATTATTAAGTTTAGTCTGCGTTTGAATAAAGGATTTTATTGATTATTTTTACTATATATCAATAGTTTCATAAGATTTTTTTTTAATGAATGGAGATTTATATCAAGAGATTTTCGTGATACATGCGACCATGTATAAGATTTAAGCATTAAGTATTTCCGAAAGTTTATTGTTTTTAAATTCTAAACACCGTGTCAACCATAATTTTTTTTTAAATTTATTTTAAGAAATCATTCTAAGTATTAGTTGTTAATTATTATAGATTATTAAATTAAACGTAAATATGAAGAAATTGTTATTGTCAATCTATAAAGTAGAAATGTGATAAATGTTAAGTAAAATAATTAACAATATAGCTTTGATGGAAATCGATACTGTATATAACTTAAATTTTATGATAATAAAAATAAAGTTTCTGAATTAATTGCAATCTACTGAAAAAATATAGTTCAGTGTAAGTTTGGTTGCATAACAATGTATATATCATATTTTAAAAAAGTTATAGCTATACTAATATTATTAATATATTAACAATTTTTAATAATAATTTAATGTATCCATTCATACTTACAAAAACTATTAACTGTAATCTTTCCGCTAAAAAAAATATAATTGAATGTTTACATTTGATAAAATAACAAATATTATATAAGATACTCAAGAATAATAAATGACTACACAAATCGTAAAATTTCAGTTGCTAAAGATCTCTTAAATATTAACAAAACAGTTAATTTAAATATTATTGATATATTCAAATTAATTTTAATGGCAAAAATATAACAAAAATACCTACAGATAAAATTTAAAGAAAGAGTGTAAAAAATACATTAGAAATACATTAGTCTTAATTCTTAGAAATGATCACTTCTTCACATAGATCTGGTTCACGACGTTGCAAAAAAATATTTAGTAGTAAAATTTCTTTTTTTTTAATTCTTTAAATTGTAACTTCATACATATTCGCATAATAATATGTGAAATACACGAATACTGTTATATCCAATTGGTGTATTTATAATTAGTAGAAACGGGAAATTCTGAAATTATCATACAATTATTTAAGTTATGATGATTTATCACGTTACTTGCTATGAAATATTTTTAATGTGATTTTAATATTATAATTGATATACAGTAAAACTTTTTAATGTGTGGTGGATAGGGACCGCATAAAAGAAATCGCACAAAAAACATATTCGAAATTTTAATAAATTATTACATATAACAAATAACTTTGTATAATACTTTAAATAATTTTTATGCGGTCCCTCATGAAAAAAAATCGCACTTATAAAATACCTCAAAGATTTACGAAATACATGAAAAAGTGAAGGGACCGCACAAAAACAGGTTCTACTGCAGTTTACATTTACAAAACAATTAATTAATTATATTCTTCCTATATATTCAGGAAACGTATCGAGCATGAATATTTGGTAAGTCTTATATTATTTTTAATTTTAACAGTATAATTTGATTTTCTTAATGTCGCCTTCTATGGTAATCATAGCAGATAGATATTTTTTTATGTCATATAATTTTATTCACAATATGTTCATCAATGTGAACATTGAGTAAATTTAAGATCGTGGTTGACATTAAATGGATAATCTTTCCCGGTGGATAGTTGATAGACTATTATATTTTTTTTTTATTTGTTAGTTAGCTGTCGTCTTGTAGGTTAACTTCAGTATATTGATTGGCTCTATTGCAGATCAATATATTTTTTTTATTTTCTTATTATATTACATTTGGTTTTTGAGTATGTATTATGAATTGTTACAATAAATGTTATTATTATTTTAACTATGATCTAAAGTTATTTATTTGAAAAGTAAGGTATTGAATTTGAGTGCTGTTACTTAGAAATTAATGATGTAGCATACATTTTATAGGTGACATAAAGTCTACAAATAGATTTTTTGGATTATAAACATGTTTAGTGCGATAATTCACCGAACAAGAAAAATAATTATCGAATTGTGTTACATAAGCTCTCCACGTTCGATCGTGTATCTGAGGTTACACTAAATTACTCGAGATAATTGCAGTTTTAGATAATTGGTACAATTACAACTCGTGATCGAAAACAATGTGCAAATGGATGTCCAATGTAAACGGGCAATTTCATTCGGATTGCCTACAGTGATAAGAGGCCAATTCCTCTTGACAATGAATATATAGTATTTGGGTTTGTTATCAGGGAGAAATGCGCGGAGAGGATAAAACTGTGCAACGCTACTACACTCTGAATGGGGAAAGGAGCGAGATTTTCGCGATAGTCGTTCAGTAGTACAAAACTGTTCGCGCTGTATGTGTCTACAATCCTACTGTGCTCGGACCGTGCTACGAAGTATTATAACAATTATATTTATTGTTTCTTAAGTATACATCAAGTGAATGATCAGTTATTAATAACAGAGGAATTAAACGATGGAATAAGGATTTCAAATTTAACTCTTGAAGGTACCGAATATGAAATAATTGTTTTTTTCTGATTTTTTTAAATTCATATTTACAATTTTTAATATTTTATGGTTCTGTAGAACGAGGAACATGTATTAATTATTAGTAAATTTTCTTTACAATTCGTTTATTGTTATTTTGATGACTATTGATATTCTAATTATTATTATTATTTCTTCAATTGAAAATGCATCAATATTAGATTAATATAAAAAACAAGAAAAAAAACGAATTTCATATTTAATTCTTATATTATATTGATTCGTTATTAAATTTCTATAAAATATGTATTTATTATGGTTTACTATTTATTTTTATATGACTGTTATATAATTATATTATTATATTTTTTCATGTAATTTTAACTCTTACTAATTATTGTGTAATTTCTTATCATAATAATAAAACATAACTATTTATTAAAATTAAATACCACAACATTATATATATACCGCAAATGTTTCTTTTTATTTAAATTTTATTTGTTTCTTTTTGTTATTGAATAAGTGCGATAAACATTCGCGGTTTGTCAGTAATTGATAAATGGTAAACCACAAAATTATTTCCATTGCAAATAAATATTATATGACTATTAAGCGAAACTTGTTATATAAATAAATTAAAGTTTATTGGGATGTTATACATACCGTGAGATTGTGAAAAAAGTCCCTTAAGTGATTACGGCCCTGGAAGTTAATTATTTTGCTGAAATAATAAAAGCTGAGATTTTTCCTTCATCATAATTTAATTTGAAGTTTGTAGATATATATTTAGCGACGTTATATTACGAAGATCTCAAGGAAGATGCTATAGAAATTCTGTTGAAAAAGTTCTAGAATAAATAGATTGAAATGTAGATTGATATAATGACGTTTTATGAAATCATCTTAACTATTGTTTTCCAAATAAATTACATTTCCTATATGTTTTTTTGCGATTTAACTAATGAGAATTTGTAATTACTTAATTGATTAGTGCAGTATAATTGACTAGCAATTATTTATTTCATTTTATAATGGTTTGTTTAAACTTTCTGAATTTAAAACGACGTACGTTTGAATTCAACATTACGCAATAATTTATAAAGAGAATTTATATGCTAAATATTAATATAATTATATTAATTAATAATACGTATATTTATAAATAATATAAATTGACAAATAGCATGAAAAACATTTTAATATTAATTTGTTTAGTCTGATATAGATTAATTACACCTAATCGTAATTCTGGATTAACTGTGCTCCATGTTACTTAATTGATGAAACCGTTGCGAATAATCATGTAATCCATATCTGAGACCCCTTCTATCCAATTGTTTGAACTTAAAGTTAGTTTCGGTACAATTTAGTGTTGCACTCGAAGGGATTACTACTAACAACATTAACTTTTCATTATATTTTTGTCGTTAAAGGGTTAGTGTACATTACATATTACAAAGTGCAATTTACACTAAGCTTAATTTAACTTTTGTAATACACTTGCCAAATATACTTTAAAGAATTTTGTATAAATAACAAAATACATTTATAAAAACAAATACAAGTAAATTACTTTCATAAATAAATTGATTGCTAAGTAATATAAATGATATATTTTTAGAAAATATCATCACGAAAATTTCACCTATTATATTTTTAAAATTGTTGTGATGGACAGGTTTGGCTCTTCCATCTCAAAAGTTTGTAGTCCCCAGTAATAAATCTTGTTAATGTGACAAACCGGCTCCATTCTACAAAATTGCTACTATTTCTCATCAAGTATATAAGTTGCAACCACTCGGTGTTCTAAATTCGTCTTGCCTTTATTTTGAAATTTATGTAATAATATAATTTAGTTATCTTTTAATTTATATTGAAAAACTAATAATTTTAACGTACAGAGATTTTTGTTCTCTTTTATACATGTTTTTTTTTGTTGGCTTAAAATGTACTACATTCTATAACCATCAATAAATATTATTGTTATTATTATCATGATGTAGTTATTATATTTAGCGCAATGACAATAACGCACACATTATTTTTCAATGGCAAGAACTTTCATTGCGGCGAGGATAGATTCAAATGATGAATATTATAAATCCAAGGTTGGATAATTCTTCACGAATGGAATAGTTAAAGTAGTTAGAGGTCTAATAGTTTTTACGATGAACCGTGGCTCGAGGGACCACAAATAACAATCGTTGCATAACGTTACTTCACTGAAAGCACATGTATGTGGTTCAAACCGATATACAAAGCAATAAGAAATGCAAAACAATTTTCCTTATTCGAATTCGAAACTTATGTTGCTTGCGCTGCACGTCTCTGGGCAATAACATCTTTCAGCAATATTTACAAGTGACATGGCCTGAATTTCAATGTCAGTTTTATTATAAACGCGATTTCATTAAAATTGATTGCCGCTTCAAGAACGTTCTACAATTAAGCCGTCCGCCGCATACGAATCGAGTCAATGACAATAATTCAACAAACGAACCACACACATTACAAAATATTATGCAACATTTTTTGCAGGACTGAGGGTTTTTTGTAATTATTTTTTGGAAATTAATCACTTGCAGACCTATCTAAAATTTGCTATGAATATTGTTAAAGGTTTTTTTTTTGTAGAGCAGAGGAAACCGTACATAAGGACCACGGATGGAGTTGTGGTACTGTGAGTTTCTTACCCACTAAAACATCTCCTCTTCTTCGTCAGCATACATATCTCTGTACACCTCATCGATGCTGAGAGACATTACCAAAATGACACTTCCCTTTGTTCACTTACTTGCGTCAGTGCTGCTGCCACTGTCCTCGTAGGCCCTCTACAGCTTTCTCTCAACTTTTTCTTTAGCCATTAGCACATAGATTACCTATGTTACTATTATCTCCCAGTTCTTTGCACTTTTCATCATTTCGCTGACAATTTTTTTCCGCTTTAGCAAGATCCCCAATTCTGACTTAGTCTCGTGTATCATCCTTATCCATCTGCAGCTCCTCCTCACGGTACCAACACCTGTCGTCCTCTTTCTTCGCGATGAAGTGCGGGTACTTGCCAAAGCATCAATGACCAGAAAGCGCTTAACTCTGGTGAAAAGTTGTTTCGCCGTGCTTTCTGCTTATCCAGGGCTCTATTTGTTGAGTCCAGGCTTCTTTCTACGACCTGTGTCATTTTTCTTGCCATTTATTATTAAAGGCTTACAATTACATCCATTTTAATTAACTTTGTTGCATGATTATTTAGTCTAGTCTATGTATAATACAATATTTTTAACGATTCTTTTTATGTATATTGATTTATTTTGTTTGAAGTCAATTATTTTTACTGCATTTTTACAAACAAAAAACCATAAAAACTAGTTTAATACTAAAGTTACCAACATTTCATGTATTCCTGATCATACCATGACCGTAACTAGACCTTAAAAACAAATTGTATTTTTCAGTTTTTACATTGTCAGAAGAAACACTTTTCGTCTATGTTATTTATTTTTCTAATAACTTTGATTTTGACTGCCGTGCTATTACTGGAACACATTTATTTCTTTAAAATAGTACTTATAACATCAAATGAAATGGAATACTATAGATTTTTATAATGTGGTGCTCTTACCTGGATTTAAAAGATAATATTGTTGTATCACCTAATTAACATTTGTAATAAAAGTGTAAACACTTGCTATGCATCTTTGATTTCAATCAACGACTTCATGGCGTCCCAAACTTTTTTGGTTTGCTGTGCCCTTAATATATCAGATATTTCGGCATACAATGAGACGGGCTAAGTTTTTGGAAAAGCCATAAAACATGATAATATCACCTTTGAGAAATTCTACACCAAAGATATAAAAAGTCAATTTGATATTCCTTGGTATCTTTAATGTTAATTAATGATTAATAGACAATCACATATTTACTATGGTATATAATTAAGAACTTTTACGTTTTTATTACGTTTTGAAAAATAATTGAATTAAATAATATACAAAAATCAATATCTCGATTTTTAAATTGCTTTTCTGTATGATCAGCATATTTAAGTAGATATCAAGATGTAATTGCTCATACAATTAATGTCTTATACTTATTCGCATCATTTAACAGTTTTCCTGTTTTCTTGATAGCTTCGAGAACAGTACTAATCAATAGTAAATAAATGTCATTTATTTGTCTGTTTTGATGTTATCTGCCGGAGGGGTAAAAACGAGAAAAGTTTCAATACGAAAACATCGTATTGGAAAACTAGGGATCGGGAAATCAATATACTCGGATACCTCGCTCACTTTCCAAGTCAATAAGTTTAGAAATAAACTTGCGAATACACAATCACAGGGTTGAAAGAAATCTCGCAGCACAGTTCTTACTTTTATGGGCACTTTATTTAAATTTATTCACACATTTAAAGTATGTTGCAAAAAAAAAGAAACTTTATTACGTTTCTTTGACATTCTGACCTAATTCAATTTTATATTATATACAAAAAATTTGTGATAACAATTGCGAAATAAAAACAGCAAATTAAGAATAAATATAAATAATTCAAAGTAAAATTTACATTTGGTGTCATTTTAGTTATTTTATAATAAGAAATATTTTAATCATTATTTTATTATGTTTTACTATTAGAACAAAAATTATTGAATTAATGTTATTGTTTGATTTATGAATTATTTATGTTTTTGTCGCTAAACTTTGTAATTTTCCTAAACTTTTATTCAAACATTACCATTTTTTGTTGTTTTCATTCAATTTTTTGAAATGTAGCAACTCATCGCATTTTGTGGGTAATATCCGCTAATATCTCGCAATTTTATAATAGTCCGGTTATCGACAACTTTAAAATTTCATAAAAATAAACTGCACAAAAATAAACTTGGCTTAATAAAATTTAAAAAAATGATCATTAATTTAAAAGAAAAATTGTGTAATATTTTTTTGAAATTTATTTTTAGTTTATCAATTAAAATTTAGTTGGTTTGAAATTTTCATACTATTTTTGTTGTGCTTTCATATTATTTTATGTATGTTGTAAAAAAAAAATATTGAAAACATTTCCATTGTATAAAACAAAATTTAATCTGCAGTTTCACTGTTGTGTAGTATTTTTATGAACGACCTCCAAAATTTAATTAACAACATGTTTCTGCGGTTACGAAATCGTCCAAATTTTATGCAGCGGACCGTTGTATAAAACCGGATTATTTAATATTGCATTTAATTGAAAAATATGAAGTTTTTAATTTAATTAAAATTTTGAAAAATAGTGAACTTTATGTTTGGAACGCAACTTTATTGTTGAAACAAATCAATAAAATGGATTTTAATTGAATGTAATAACATTTTTTATTGTCTGCATTCTCTAAAATAGTGAAGTCATAAGAAATTTTATGATGTCTAGAGGTTTTTCCTTTCCTAAATAAGAATATACGTATTTTATGTCTACAATAAATCAGAAATTTAATGATAATCTATCAAACTACAAACATTAATCTAACAAGTGAATTTGCATCTTTTATAAGAAAAATATGAAAATAAATCACAAAGGGTAAAAATATTTATGATCAGTATCTCTTTGCAGCAATATTATTGTTAAATCTCAAAGATAATAATTTCAATACAGTATTTAATTAAATGACCCGAAGAACAATAAATACTTGTTCTCAATTGTGAACAGCTTCATTCTTCTTAGTCTTAAGTATGTTTACAAGTGGTAATAATTCACAATCGTATATAGTTAATATTGAAAATTTGTTGTATTTTCTTTTTGTCTTTATTTATTTCATGATTTGATGATATATCATTTCCATCTTCTTTACCCAAGTATCTTCTTATTCTCTTGTGATTTCGTTTCTTCTTCTGATATGAAGTGTTTAGTCACACCATAAACCTATAGCACAAGCTCGACGTGAAAATATTTCAAGGAGGTTTTCAGGATAACAACTTCAACATGACTCCATTGACAACTGCCAAATAAGAAAATAATCTATTCTTATCGTCAGTCGTTATGCGAAACGTCGCTCGTTATGTGAGTCATTTTCATACAATTTATTTTGTTCGTTAGCGATATGCTCGTTATGCGAGATGCTCGTTAACCAAGGTTCCACTGCATATAAAGTTCATATAAGTATTTATCAGGTATACCAACTATTTTTATTATTGTATCATGCGCTGTTGTAGTAGTTGACTGAGATCAGTCAGAAATGTATGTCTCATTTCACATACATTATGGTTGCTGTATAATAGTGATAATTTTCATATATAATATATAATTTTTATAATATATTAAATTATATAATCATTTTGGTGATAGCTTAAACAAAGGGTCTGCGAACAAATTTGACAACAAATACGTTCTAAAAGATGTCTATATTCGCACAACAAACAAATGTTCGGACGACCACACCGGATAAAATTTGGGACGTGACTCGAATTTTTCACCGCAAATCCTGAAAAATCGTAGATTTGTATATTATTACCTTCTATGAACGCTTTTCATATATACAAAAAAACTTGGGAAACGGCATTAAATTACGTGTTTAAATATAATTTGTTAGGGAGGCAACTATGCTTTATGCGTATTTAAGGGGGTTTAGTCTATGGTCAATTGCAATAATGAATCAAATTTCTTTAAAAATCTATGGACAGATTATGTCAATATGACATTAAATATAAAAATACTGAGGTCATTGATCTTTTAACATAGTTGATTGCTTGACATAAACTTGTCTATTTACAATAAAAAAAAACTATTTTTTAAAATCGCATTAACATAAAACCAATACAATTCTTTTAAATTCAAGAATTGTCTGCATAAATTACAACGAAAAGTTGTTTCTGTCATTTCTGACCTAGTACTTGATAAGATTAATAAATCAACATATTAATTTTAATAAATAATACAGTTTATATTTTTATTATATTACTATTTATATGATGATCTTGAAAATCACGAAATGTGAAGTTATTTCCCCTTGGCACAAATTTGAACATCTACATTAAATCACTGATTCGAAAGTAATAATCTTATTAATATTATCGACGCAAAATCAGTTTAATACATTATTATTTATTGTTAGATTTGTCAATGCTAATTGTCAATTTAGAATACAAGTTTTCATGTACAGTGGAACCTTGCTTAACGAGCAAAATAAATTGTAAGAAAACTGACTAGCTTAACGAGCGACGTTTTGCATAACGAGTGACGATAATAAGAGAAGTCCTGGATTGCCTGCTACATCATTTATAAAACTTGTGTACACATATTATGTGCATTTTTGAATATGTTTCACTATACGAATAAAAATCCGGAAATTTTGGAACGGATTAGACTCGTTCCACTGTATTTTAAATATTTAATAATCAGCAAAAAGATAAAATATCTAAGACAAAATTAGTTTAATGTTAATTACAAAAATATTCCAATATTTCTAATATATTGTTCAGACTATACTGTTAATAGTACAATTTATATTTTTTCTAGAATTCTATATTATTGAAGAAGAAAATCTCAAGTTTTCGATTCCTACTATTTAACATGAAGATACAAAAAATATTTAATAATACCCCTGCGACTACCTTAATTATTATTTACGTGAATCAACGTATAAATTTCGATTAAAAAAAAACGATTATTTTTATACTTTTTTTTCTTTATTGGAAGCAAATTAAAGTGATATAAGATGGACGCAATTGCGAGGAATGCAAAGGTTGAAAGATCAACAGTAGAAATAATTATTGCTCTTCAATAAGGCGATCAATAGAGCTGCTATTATTAGAACAGCAGCGAAAACGACAAAGAACAGCACCGTCACCAATAGGACGCTGTCTTCTCCGTTGCTCTGAATGCTCTTGGAGTCTGGCAGGACCACTCTGAAATCCAGATACGATTCCCCATCGGTTATGTTGGTGACGGCCTCTCTTCTTGATCTCGTTCTCGCATCCACTTTCTCTTCGCAATGCCTGGCCTAAATTAAGAAGAATAAAAAAACGAATTAAAGATATAAAAGAAATACTTAAAATTAATGAAACTGTATACTAGGCAATAAACTTAACCAATTTAAGAAGAAAAATGCAATTCATGGAAGTAATTTAATAATTATGTTTAAAATTATTGAGCTTCGTCAAGTATAAGATTGACAATTGGAACAACAATTTGTAATTGGCACATATTTTCTAATATATACTAAACTACAATTTGCTTTATTAATAACTTTGCAATAAATATATGTTTGTAAATATTGCATAATATTTGAATATTATAATATAGCAAAACCTCGAACTGATCGAAATCGGTCGAAGATTTTGATTTAACTCAATTAAAATTTAGTTTATTCACTATATTGAATTCGGATTGATCGAAGCCGTACTATGCGAGTAATTTTTGTAATATAGAATTAAATTTATATTAATTTTTTATATTGATGATAATTTTGAATTTTAAATAATTGATTCGGTGATTAAAATTGATTTTGATTTCATTTGTGAAAACTAGAAAGTGTTGTTATTATAACAAACAAATTATAAAAACTATAGCATATGTAACTGATGCATTTTTATACTTGGAAGAACTCACCAATGAACATCATTTAGATATAAAAGAGCGAGAGAAAGGTACAGTGGAAGAATATATTGTAACTGAGACTCCAGTACGTTATTTCACTTTATTAGCCTTGACAAATGTTTCTACAAATCGCGAAGGCCTTAAAAATAGATTTTTTCTAACTTTAAGATAACTACGACAGTTGTTAAACTTAGAAAATGCAAATAAACTATATGGACTTTTTTAAAGTAAAAAAAACAAGAAACTAATATTGCAGCTAGTTCTACTTCAATGAAAACGAGTATTATACCATCGACGGAAGATTATGACATGAAATATTAAATGAGAGCATTATAACAATATAACAAGATTTAAATCTGTATATACAATTATAATATATATTTTTGTTTTGTTTATGTTATAATTTCTATATTCAAAATAAAATAATTACCATATTTAAAATTAAAAAACTACCTTCATTTTAAAAATATATGTCAACAATTCTCGATTAAAAAGTATTTAAAACTAAAGCAGAAATTGCAATTAGTACTAAAAAAATACAAAACAATGATTCATGTGTTTTTTTATTGCACACTGTTTTGTTTGTAAATATTTATATAATTTTGTAGTTATTGCAATAAATATTTGTTGTGTAATAAATGGGTTTTTAAATTAACTATAATAGGAAATCGATGTCTTTATTTATGTTTAGTATAAATATTAATTTGTTTGTTTTCATTAATGAATCTTTTATGAAACAATTGAATTTTCTGAACATTATTGTATATTTAATAGTTTATAGGGAAACAATACATTATTATCTAGACTAATTAGATTAAACTTGCAATTAAAAAGTGAACTTAATTATATAAGTTTGATGCTAAGTAAAGTACTATAATTTTCTTTTGTTTTTAAAATAAAATTAACTAGCAAAACTGGTTTGTAATGACCTTAGTTTAAGCGAAATATCAGTATTTTCATCATGCTGAAAATTAAATTTAAGCTGAAACTGTGCAGCTAAAATGCAATAACTTTGTTTTGCTTTTATAAATAAAATAATAACGAACAAAACAAAATAGGGCATGGCAAAATTACATACGTTGAATAAATTAAGGTTTTGTTAGGTCGTATGAGCGCATCCAGTTTTTGCTGAACTTGGCGTAATAAATCGGTTTAGTGGAAATGGTCGGAAATGAAATTAAATGTGGCATTGTGTGGCAAAAGCACTGTCCGAACAGCAAGCCATTATATAAATCTCTCTGGGGAAGATTTATTACATACACACGAGCGGCGTGGGAGGAAGGGAAAGAGAGGGAGGACAGGGTTAATAATGAAATTTCCGCAAAACCGTACCCTCGTTGTATGTGACTGAAATGCACAAACGTATAGCGATTACAAACTATCTATGTACATCCAATCCAAGGCAATTTAAGCTATTTATGGAACGATTATCTGTCTGTCCGCCAATGTTATGTAGAAACTATAGTTTTTTTTTTATATGTCTATATTACTACTTAAGCGTATAATCCACTATTCTATGAAATAACTGATTCGTTTATTGATTTTTTCTTACAAATAGTTCATTTTTATTTAAATTATCCAGTACGGTAAATTAATAAATTAAAACTATATAAGAATTAAAATAAAATAATTTGTAAAAATAGCAAATGTTTTTCATATGAATAATATTTTTGTACAATTATTTTAATATTCCTTTAGTTATAATATGTGGCTTATTTTATTTCATACCTTATATATTGGGATGGCAACTAAGTTATTGCGTATTTTAAGTCAGAAGCAAAATTCAAATGCGATACATTGAGCTTCTCCGCAATCTCACGTGTTGATATGGGTCTCATCAACGATTTTCAGTGAAAAATCACCAGAACTAATTTTGAAACTGTCTGAAATGCACGTCTTCCATTTTTTAAATTGGGATAAGAACAAAACTAAATAACTAATCGATACAATTTTTTTACTAATTTAATTTGAACACGTTGACAAAATAAAAGAATATGCTAAGACCGAATGTGAGAAAATTCTCAATCAATTAGTTGTCAACCCAATAATATAATGACGTTATTTTATATAATCACTTGGCAATGTTTAGAATAAGTAGGTGATGTGTCAACAGCAATACTTTGTATAGTCCGGGCTATTTGGAACTGGACTCATCGAGGAACTAATGCTGTGGAACCTCGCTTAACGAGTTTAATCTGTTCCAAAATTTTCGGATTTTTACTTGTATAGTGAAATACTAGTGTAGTGAAACACGTTTTACCATATAAACTACTGTAAATTATGATAATGCGTTCCTTGCCGAAAAAAAAGTATAACTTGGTCTCGATTTTTAATGATTTTGCTTTTCATATCTATGGTTATTTTTATTCTTTGGCTTTTTATTCGGAGACATGCAAGTGTTGAAACTTTTGCACAAAAAAAAACACAAATAACATCTCTGAACACAAGTTTGGATATTTTGTCATCACAAACAACACTAAGATGCAACTAGAATGACCACTAACACTAGGAACTGTTTTCTAATTTACACACGGTGAAGTGAGTTTATATTTGTTTATATTACTTGTATCAATTCGGCTTGACGGGGGTCTCTTTATACTTTTTATATTTGTTTATATAAAAAAAGCGTTCATAATGTGTTTATAAATTAGCAGCAAACACAAATTATTTTTGCAAAGTATAGTCCGCTTTAAACAAATATGACAAAGAAAATCGAAGATGGTTAATATATTAAAAAATACACATAATTTGTGTATACAAGTTTTAAAAATGATGTAGCAGGCGCGCAATTCGGGACTTCTCTTCGCATCGTCATTATGCGAAACGTCGCTCGTTAAAAAGTCATTTTTCTTACAATTCATTTTGCTCGTTAAGCAAAATGCTCATTATGCGAGGTGATCTTAAAGCGAGATTCCACTGTATATACAACAATAAACCTCACGAAAAGGGACTTGATTGTATAAAAAGTAAAAACATAAATTTTTCATAATCTATTTTTTGCTCAATAAAAATTTAATTTGTGTTGAATTTTTCTAACTGGGCTATAGTGAATCCGGAATGATCGAAGTCGTACTATACGAGGTATAGCTATTGCATATACTATCTAGAAATTAGAATAATATCGATATTATGATCTTTTAACACATATTAACCTAAATACGAAAATCGGAATTCTATGAATTCACCTTATAAATATTGTAGGTGTATGCTGCTCGGTTTCCTTGGAAAGCTACGTATTGCATAATTAACCCGGGGTCTAAACTAATCTGATTTATGAGTGAAATTAATGGGAAACTAGAAGATTTTAGAAAGTTCACGAATGCACAATTCCGATTTAAATTTAAAACGCGTTGATGGCCGATGATAAATATTATTCGCGCAGCGTGTGCATTTTATACATTTTCATTGAGTAATTTTGGCCTGCCATAGCTCTTACATTTCCTGAAATATAAACGATGATTTATTTTACAACGTTAGAGTGAAATATCGTTTATTTGTTATGATAACATTGTACGTATATCGGTGATTGCCATATTCATTCAAAGTGGATTTGCATATTATGGATGGTTGCCAAAGACTTGAACTTTTTTATCTGAATAACATCTATTAATCAGTTTTACTTTATATATTGGAAGTTACATTTGTTTGCAATTAAATTTGTTCATATAACATGTTAATTGCTCATCTTTATAAGCATACGCATAGATTTTATGATATGAAATTATGGTATTAATAAATGTATTATTATTAATATTATCTCTGATCTCAACTTTAGTTAGTGGAAAAACTGATGAAATATTAATTTCCAAGAACTAAGAGGATATAGTTATTTACAAATAGAGTGTGTAAATGTGTGCACCATACAAAGGCGCCTTGTCTAGAGGGCGCTATCACACTCGTCCATTAAAAATATTAAAAAAATGGTCACGGGTTCAAATCCTGGCAAGGCCCTTTGTGAACCCTCTCGGTGCTTGCAGCAATAGGGCTATCGTTCATCACAGATGGACAGTGAAATGAATGAGGTTCAGCATATGGACCCTCAGCCAAGTTGATGGACAATAACAGTTTTAAGGATAGCAGCAGATTCACAGTGAAAGGAAATAGTGGAATCGCAGAGCATCAATATACTACTGAAGTTAACCTACAAGACGACAGCCAACCAACAAATTAAAAATCTAATCATCATAATGGTAAACTATCCACCGGGAAAGATGATGAACATTGTAGAACATTGTAGAACATTGTAAATAAAATTACACGACATAAAAAAAATCTTTTATCCATGAAAAATATTTATTTTATCCCTTGGGGGAGATGGTTTTAACTCTTTGAGAGGCCAGATATTCCTATATTTCTAGACCCAACAACTCTCTAGAGTCTAGACAATTGAATCAGACAGCTACGTTTACTGAATCAACATTGGATGGTATGGCCTATCAAGATTCATCCTTTGACATACCAACCAAATTAAAGGATTTAATTCCTTTTTCCTAGACATTTTCTAGAAAATTATAATAATTCATTACTAGGCATGTTCAAAAGGCAAGACAATGCCTGTTCCACCTTGTTTATAATTGATTAACAATATATTTATCTTGATAGTGTTTGTACACATATTTGTAAAATAAACCTAGTACAAGTTACAAGATATAAGTACTTCTTACTCATAACATAATGATTTCCAACTGAATACATAGTCAGAAATTAATTCCTTTCTATTGATAATACGAGTAACTTACACTCAGTTCGTTGTAGAATAATATTGTTTCATTTTTTTAAATATTTTATTAATTAATTAATAATTTAAAGTGCTTTTGTCTGAAATCTATTAGAAAATAATAACAATATGCGAATATATTAAATTAGAACCGCTAATATTAGCTTAAATAGTACAAATATATTTGCGAAGCTATTCTCTTAAACTTTAAATAACATGGTCATAATAGTAATAAGCGAAACATTCAGAACGTCACGTCATGTCATTGTCTAGTTCGAGATTTTAGTTTTAGATGTAAAATTTGATTCGCAAAACAAAAGTGCACTGTGGAAATGCTAAAATTGTCTACTTTCAATGATTAATAAAAAAAATGTATATTTATTCAATTGCTATGGACTATGAAAGAAAAAAGAAGAATAAATAATAGGTTTTGAAGCTATACTTGTATGCGTTATATAAAATAGTCATAATAATAAGCAAAACGCTAATAACGTTACGACTCGTCATTATGTAGTTTGAGATACTAGTTTTAGATGTAAAATTTAATTCGAAAAAAAAAGAACGTATGGATTACCATCAAAAAGCAATCGTGCAAAGTGTAATGTTCTGTTCTGTAATTATTTATAATTATCTTTAGTTTTATGTTACGCCATAAAAATGCAATTTATATTTATATGGCGATAGCATTGCCTAGTTACAATAATATCAGCAAATGAGTATGTAAACATTTTAAATCTAGAATTTTCTATTATATTTCCAATGTTTTTAATTTAGACATTTATATAATCAAAATTGAAATTTTTAGTTTCAATTATATTTAGTATTAACTTTACAAGTTTTTTTTTGTATACTTTTCATGTATACAATCTTTTAATATTTAGGCGGCCAACTAGTTTTTTATACATAATTAAAACTAAATAAGATATATTTAGTTTATTTTATAATTTACCTGTATACAATCTTCTAATTGCAAGCATGCATGAACTCTCACAGAGAGCCTCATTTCGTCTCCTTGTTGAGCCCCTTGAAACATGAAAGCCCTCAAGGGCATTGTGGTTACCAGCGAATCCACTTGCTTCGGTTGTTCCGGACAGACTGCTCTCATGTTATGCGCCCTACAGCCAGAGTTATCCACAAGAGTTATAGAATCCGGAGAAGATTGACGCCCATGTACAATCACGGTTCCCATTCTGGAATATTTCCAGCCTGTAACAAACAGCATACGTTTTATTAACTTCATATTGAATTACTCTCATTGTTTCCAAGTAATTTGTTTCTTACTCGACTGTTATGAACTTATTTTTATGACAATTGCTGTAATAAAATTTTATTACAAATTTAAATTGAAGTTCATAGGTCAATATTTTATTTACTTAATAGAAACTACGTAATAAAATCAGTACTGTAGATTTTGAATAATCTAACACTAGAAATGCAACGTTTTAATACTAATACAGCAATAACTAGTATAGTGCGTCTTCGATCAGTACGGATTCACTATAGTAAGGTTTGAGTATTCCAGAACAAACTAAATTTTATTTGAACAAAATAAGAAAATTAAAACAAATTGATCTCTCACCTTTTTTTATTTAACTAACATCATATTGATATTTATCTACACATAGAATACACGCTTAAGTTCAATAGCTAGTAAAAAGTGCATTGTAAATATTTGTGAAATATTATTTACATTTGTGCTGAATGTATTGAAATCCCATAAAGTTTTAATCTTCAATAAAACTGATATGCAGTTGCCACTATATTTCATTAATTAAAACGCGTGTGCGATATTTCTATTTGATCTATGATATGGAAACTTAATGAATATATATATTTTTTAAATAAAACCACAATGCTTTATCGACAAATAGGTAATGCATGTGTTTATATTGTCTTTTCGCAATTAATTAATCGAAGAATGCCCATTGGTGATTTGTAGCGTAGTGCTTTCTATCAGAGGAGGTTAAGTGAAATGTCTTCAAGATCTAGATTAATTAAATGGCCCCCGAGGTTGGCTCATTTTAATTAATGGCTTGGTAAAATGACTTGAGAGGCTTTGGGCCATTCATCGCCGCGCGAACCCATCTTGGCTCAATGAACTTTTCATTACATGATGTGGATAAGTTTGAAATATACGTTCAAAGTTTTAGGTATAAAATGCGTTACGAAACGTTAATGAATAATAATTTTACAAGTTATAATATAATAAGGAATTAATAATTTTAGATTTACAACATTTAATGAACATAAAGATTTGGATAATTGAAAACAGATTAAAGTTAACTTTACAGTCCGATTTAATTATACATTTACTACTTATTTACAAATAAATTCATTATTTTTTTATTCTAAGTTTGTAAGTAATCATTCTTCAAGATTTTATTATTTTTGATTAAATATTTTTTTTGTTCTTAAATCAAATTTTCAATATTTTTCTTGAATATATATTTCTCAGAAAATCAAATCAATTTTATTACAGAATATGAGACGTAGACGTGGGATGGAGTTATTGATTTAAAGCATAGAAATACATCAATGGATAGGGAAGATATAAATTTCATGCTGCTATAAGTGTGTTTTCCTTATATATTGAATGAATCAGCCTCCTTTTTGAGAAAATAAATTAGTTATGAATCAATATTTTGTTAAAATTACAACTTAAATAGTTTTGTAATAAATGAAATACACAATAGAAACTGTTATTAATTGTACAAATTAATTTTATATAAATACTAACTTGAATAAAAATAATAACAACAATACATTTTCGCGACACGCTGTTGCAAATCACTATGTCAATTTAAAGTTTAAATTAGGTAAAAATTGAGATAAGGTAATTTTGATAGACGTTGTGTGTAACATATTTAAAAAAAATAAGGAATTAAGGAAAGTGTAAAACTAGCTGAAATATATACAGTGAAACTTTGTATTCGGAGTATACTGCAAATACTTTGGGCGAGCAAATTTATTTAATGAATTTAACTTGATAAACCTGTGAGGTCATGCAATACGATTATATGTCTTTGATATACGTGTGTTTTGCATTACAAGAACGTATCCGAAACGAATTATACTCGCGAACCACTATATTTTTACTTTCTTTTAATTATGTAATTTTAAAGAGTGAAAATATTGGCATTTAATTAAAATAATGTAAAGTTTCCGCTATTTGAACAACAGAAGTAATTTTGTTGTTGATCTCGTACACATGACCTTAAAGATTAGTTATTGTAAATCAGAGAACTTGACAGCAGGAACAATACATTAATTACTTGCTAAACAAGTAAACAAATCTCCGACAAAGAGGCGATAATTTGATACTTGACAAAGGAACAAGTTCGTTCGTTTCTGGCTACTAATTAATAGTATAATTTAATTCGCGTGTTAATTGCATACCAATTCTATTTTCGCGTAGCTCGATAACAGAACACGTATAACGCATATAAATAATATTAATTTTTGCGAATCCGAAGGCATAGACTTCGATCCGTTTTCGGAAACCTACACACTTATTTTATTCATTATCACATGCGATGTGATTAATAGCAGCCAAGGTTACAAATTTTCTATTTGTTAAATAACAACACGTTCCGTACAACTCCGAATTATCACCGTACGATTTTGAATCACATTTTCTTTTCCTGTTCGTTATTTTATATATATTATGTTTTTTATTCGATAAATAAATTGTAAAAGAGCTGCACGAAAGTACATTTATTTCGTTCAGCAGACTGTATAAATTGAGATAAACCGGGCGTTGGAAAGCCGCTCGACACATATAACTGGTTAAATTCGCCGTTCGGCCTTATTTTCGAAGGAACATACATCATTCGTTTTAAGCCAGTTTCAGAGAGAGATAGGGAGAAATCGTGAACGGAAATACCATTATGCGATACCAACGCATTGTGCAAATTTTGTTTTGAAGCGTTTTTAATTTACAAGGAAATTTAGCTAGGGAATCCCCTAATATCTCCGTGTCATGATATTCGACGTTTTTTTATCCAATTTATACACCCATTTTATTCAAATTATGATCCTCATTTTTCCAATTACGTAAAGTTACTTTTCCAGTTATTTTAAATATTATTTATTTTAAGCACTAATTAAAACTTTTAAAATAATATTAATTAAAAGCAATTCATATAATTTATTGCGGAAAGACATATGTAAATTGCTTTGAATATTTTTGTGATAGAAATTATAAATATATATTTATTTCCGGTAAGTTTTTTGTTTTGAACGACTGTTGCAATAAACTTCATTGTTATTATAGTTATAGTTAAGTTCAAATCTACATTTTTTACGAAATAAATAATATAAATATGGTATGGTAGAAAAGATATAGAAATTTATATTAACATTCATATTTAGATAGTAAAAGGATTAGAAGTATTTTTATAATTTCAAAACTTAGCCGGTATAGAGTTTGTTTTGGAGTTTATGTGCCGTACTATAATTCAAGTCAACTAAACACAAGATAAAGCCTGTCTACAAGCATACAAGTTAAATATTACAGAAGCGCTTAATTGATACTTTGTTATAATAGGAACAGTTTCATGTGGTATTGTTGGAGTAATTTACATTACTTACTTTATTAGTACATATAATTCTCAGAATTTATACATTACTTTTGATTTGATTTATTTTGTATATACAGGGGAACCTCGCATAACGCGCATACTTACCAAATTTTACTTGTAACTATAACTTTACTTCTTCCTTATTATAAATAAATTTGAGTTTTTTGTAATTAATTTAAAATTGAAATGATTTAAGTGGTTTTTAATCTCACTTTTATCTGTAATTATATGTTGGTTATTCTCTAGATTTTGCAATGAATAATATGATTATTTTTCATGTCTTTCAAACAATTGCATTATTTAATTTGTATAGTTCTTAGTAAAATAGATGATATTTTTATTTTCTACGAGTTACATCATTTAATAAAAATGTGCGATAATTACTTTGTTGTCATTTATGTAATTGATTACTTGTTTCAAGTATTTATCAAATTCAATAGATAATTAATATAAAAATAATTACATATTATAATTATATTTTATCGTGTAATATACAGGATATTAAAATAAAAAAACATTTAAAAAGCATATTCGTTTCCTGTTATTTTAATGTACTGGTTAGTTTAGTTTGGAGCGAGAATTATGCTAATGTATATTTTATGCGACGAAGATAAGAGTTATGCAAACAGCGATAACATTTTTAGTTGTTGAAGCTTTGAGGTTACTCATATAAGTGCTCTTGTTTATCTACAAACATGATCTTGTTTTATTATTATACAATATTGTTTATTCAATAAGGTTACCTGTAAAACACATTAATCTTAAGCTTCGTATAAATATATCAATAATTGAAAACGTTTGAAATATTCAACAAAAATGATAATTTTAATTAACAAATTATTGTTAGTATTTTTAATTAAAATTCACTAATTGTAGGATCTTTGAATGTTTCAAAACAAATTACTAATAAAATATATTTATTTATATAGTTAAAGTGTATAGGAAATATATATGTATTAAGGTGAGAAATGAAATTTCAGGAAAATATTTCTAATTATTCCATTACACCACGAAATTAATTCACATCACATCACATTAATAAAATAAAATAATTATACAGTGGAACCTCTCTTAAGGTGTTTAATCCGTTCGAAAATTTTACTCGTATAGTGAAACATATTAAAAAAATACACATATGTGTACACATGTTTTTAAAAATGATGTAGCAGACGCGAAAACCTGTACTTCTCTTTTCATCGTTATGCGAAACGTCGCTCGTTAAGCGAGTCATTTTTCGTACTATTCATTTTGTTTGAGAAATGTTCGTTATGCGAGGTGCTGGTTAAGCGAGGTTCCACTGTACTTGAATTTTATATTTATTTATAAACAAATCTCAAAGTTTTAATTTAAAAGATAACATTAACAGCTTAAAGATAATTAAATTATAATTTGAATGTATTTCCAAGATATTTATAATTATCTAGTTTTTCTATACGTTTGCAATTTAACTTTGTGTAAATATTCCAATTTACATAAATGTGCAATCATTTGCTTCAAGACAACTTGATTATACTTGTTTATTAGGAAAATTACAGAGATCGATCTTTACCATCATGACAATCATGACATATATTATATTAACTCTTAGTCGAATATTATAGATTTATATATGTACCGTTTCAATGAGAAAACATCGCATTCAACAATTTCCTCTTGTTTTCTTTTCTGCTTAAAAACAGAATTGACTACACTTTATACAATTTCATTTTTTGCTTGTCGTAGATATAGTTGCGAATAATTTTGCAAGTAATTTTATTATTTTCTAGAATTTAACGGTTATTATGTATTTAAAAAAAAATCATTAACAAATTTATTAAAATAATAACATTATTGTTACTTTGAATGAATTACAGTAATGTATATACTAACAATAACCGACATTTGTAACATTTATATAGAGTTAGATGAAGGTAAATATGACGTAAACCATGAAGTTCAATATAGAATTATTATATGAGTATTTTATAGGAATAAATAAGTATAAATCTTCAAGGGAAAGTTTTTCATATTGAAAAATATAGAGGACAGATTGTTTATGTTCTTATTTGATTTATGATCGTAAAAATAGCTAATACTGAAAATTTATGTATTTTAATATTAATATATTTTATGAATGATTTTTGTCTTTGTCTTTACAAATCAAATAAAGTTTATTTCAGTATCAAATTTTATATCACCATCAAGCTAGAAGTTTCAGTTTAGTGTAGATAAGAGAATTATAGAATAATATTGTTGTTAAATTGATTTTTTTTGTAGAATTAAAAAACTTTCTTTTCCAAATTATTTGTTTATCCATCTTAATAATCATCAGCCTTGTGTGTTTTAATTGATGTATTACTTATTACTTTAACTAAAATTCTCGGTTTGTGCATCAAAGGTCACCAATCCAAAGCCTATCCGTGTCACACATTATTTAATTTTATAATTTTTTGCCAGTTATTTAAAATGATTTATGGGTATTGGATATATAGTATACATATGCAATGATATATATTTGGAGAGATGCGATTAGGTTTCCCTACTTTATGTATGTAATAAATTGAGCTCGTTTTCTCGGCTGGGACTTACCATCTCCATCACGTACCGACGCCCTTAATAATAAATCCTCTCCAAGGGTAACGGAACTGCCGGGAGTGACAATCTGCGTGTACTCATTGGTATGCGGCGCCTTTCTATAAAGAGCCACTTGGGACTCCAGATTTCGCTGCGATCCTCCCGCTGCGACCGTCCGTAAACTCCTACCCTGCCTGCAATAGTTGATATTTTTGGTAACATAATGCAGACCCAGAGTCACCATAGATAACTTACAGATTAATGGGTCTGAACTGGAGGTGCTTAATTTGGCTGGCGACAGAATTCTGCGGCTTGCATTGCAGATTAATCACAGCGTCCTCTGGTAACTTTATCCCCCGAACCGTCGGCATCCTCAGTTGCATGCAGAGGTTCCTATCCGAGCAATAGGAAACACCGCATTTCGTCATCCTCTGGCCGGATAAGTTCACCTGATAAATTCCACCACCGGAAGACAAGACGCAGTCCTGATTTCCGTTCTCGGGAATCGGAACGTTTCCTTCCCCGAAACGCAGGGAGCTACGAAAGAATCGATCGTTCCCTGAATCCAAGCAGGACATATTTAAGACGCGGAAAGACTTGGACTCGGGAACACCATAACTGGTGGACGGCGGCAAATAACTCGGGGGCGGCAAATATCCCGGATTTTCGGTGGTCGTTGTTGTTGTAAATGGTTCATCAAATAGAATCGGTGGACTCGGAATTGGATAGTTGTACTCGTTCGCTTTATTCACTATAATTTCCGGAAGTACGAAGGGTTCGTAACTGTAACCGGAAACGGTCGATTGGAGTACAAACAGTAGAGCAAACATTTCAGCAATGACTGAGTGTCAAATAATTCGGGTGCCTTATATACTCATCGGTTTGATTTACAAGAAAAACAAAAGAACTGAGGATTTGCTGTGAACGTCGTGACTTCTGCTTTTAAGACGACATGATTACGAACAATATGATTCGTGATTTATTGGGACCCAGATTATAAAAGCCTTAATGGACATGTATATAATGTTTTCGCCGTCAATTATCACCGTTACCAATAAACAATCATAACACCTGACAATTGTTCTTTCCAATTAAACAAAAGCATCACAAATCGTTTGAACGTTTGAATAAATTGGTTGGAAATAAAAAGTGGACCGAATTGTGAAATTTTGACATGTAAAATGTATCGATATCGCCTTCTTTCACAGCATATACTTTTTTTATGAAATGTATCTTTATGCTAAATATCTCGTGGAAAGTTGAAAGCCGTCCAATACAACAACGTGACATCTGGGCCAATGCAACGGTCACTTGAAACATGTCGATTCTAATTGTCTTTTCTTGAATTTATTACCTTGATGCGAATAAATACTGTATGAAATGAATTGTATATATTACTGCTCAATTCAATGTTTCTATTACCGATCTACAATTCAGTTCAACACATAAATATTATCTACTTGGAGAATAAATGAAAACTATAAAAATAATGTTATGAGATTAAATTGCATTAAATTTTTGTTTACTGTATATGTCGTGATATAAATATGAAATATATGAAAATTGTGCTAGTCATGTAATAATCAATAAATATGATAATTAGAATATGATAACTATAATAACTTTGTTATTATATATAAATTTTATATTAGCTTCATTAATATAAAGTATAGAGTATAAGTGCAATGCATTTTTATTTATATCAATAATTTTTATATTCATTGCTAACTCAATTGTTAAGTGTAAGAAAAATCCGTTTCTTCCAAAATGATCAAATATTTCTATAAAAATTCTACAATAACATTTTTAAATGATTATTCCGTAGTTACCATCTATTTTAATAACTGCTGCCCATTTTGCAAATAATATTTTTATTAAAAAAAGTAAACAAAACAGCAATTTGTATTAACAAAAAACCGCTTACAAAACAACTGATAATTATGCTCCAACCGAATATATTATTGCATTATAAATCATAGAAGAAGATTAACCGATAAATCTTTTGCAATTGTATGCGTCTTTATAATATGAGAAAGCAATAAAATATTAAGAATTATACGACCTTGAGAAAATCATTTAAATATACAGTGGAACCTCGCTTAACGAGTTTAATCCGTTCTAAAAATTTCGGATTTTTACTCGTATAGTGAAACAGTTTTTCCCATATAAACTAATGTAAATTTCGATAATGCCGGAGAAAAAAAAGCATAACTTGGTCTCGATTTTTAATGATTTTAATTTTCATATCTATGGTTATTTTTATGCTTTGGCTTTTTATTCGGAGACGTGCATGTGTTATTAAATTTTGCACAAAAAGAAATACAAATAACATGTCTGAACACAAATTATATTTGGAAAATATAGTGCGTTTTAAACAAAGATGACGAAGAAAATCGAACTTGGTTAATATATTCAAAAATACACATAATATGTGTGCACAAGTTTTAAAAATGATGTAGAAGGTGCGCAATCCAGGACTTCTCTTCTTATCGTCACTCGTTATGCGAAACGTCGTTCGTTAAGCGAGTCATTTTTCGTACAATTAATTTTGCTCGTTAAGCGAAATGCTTGTTATGAGAGGTGCTCGTTAAACGAGGTTCATGAATAATTCGCTGATTCCATATCGAGAAGGATAACATTAATTAAGGTTTATTTGAATGAAATAGACTTTTTAACGAATACCACTTTTTAAGATTTCAATTGAATAATTAAGAAAAAGTAATTTTCCTATGACAGATAATATAGTAGATAATAATGTTTTCAATTATTATTATATTAATATCCAACATATTGTGGAATAATTTTGTTCATGGTATATTTAAATTATTGTCATGGATATTGTCATTGAATATTTCGTAATTAAATACTGCAGGAAATTGAATGATTGATAAACTACCACAAATTGAATTGAGGAATAACAAATTCTGACGTAGGCAAAGCTTTCAAAGCGATGAAAATGAAATATTCACAGACTTGTTCCGTAGAGCCGAATTCCATCTATTTGGTACAATGATGTAAGGTAATATATATGAAAGATGGAATATAATACGCCACAGTTAATAGTTTTGAGTTTACACATAAATTAGCAATAAGTAAAAACAATTAAATATCACGAAATGTTTATGGAAAATAGAAAACAACATGTTGATTACATATTTATTCAAAATAATAATTAAAGTATAACTTTGTATAGGTAATTAATGTTCTTGTTTGGTGTGTTTCAGGGAAATAAGCATACGGGTCTTGATGGAAAATAACTGCAGCTTGACACATGAGCACCGCAAAGTGACGTTTGAGACGCCGCAGATATCACGGCTGACTTTGGGAAAGCCCCCGTTTCCGACGCGAAAACTAAGTTTTCCAGCCGCACTGCACGCGAATTTACTCGGAATCGCATCAAACGGAAAGCTCGACGATAAACAGGAACAGTACAATGCGAAACGGAGGTTCAGCAATGTCAGCGATGCTGTCTCGAGAAAATTATCAACGACAATCGGATGGAGGATTCCTGCGGTTCCTCCGAAGGACGTGATTGCTCAGGGAAGGGTTTTGTGTGGTCAGTATATAAGGAACCGTCTGAAGAGGTCGGGGATTTTCAACAAGAAGATGGGACTGTACAGGCTGCGTAGCATGGTCGGAACTACCAGTGGGATAGTTGTTAGGGAAGTGTTTCCAGGTTTGATTGGAGCTGGAATAGAATTGGAGAGGATGCATCCAAAGCTGTACACAAACGTAGCTCGACACACTAGTTTAACTCCAGGCGGAATCATTGTATCCGACGAGGCAGCTGCCGGTCTTTTGGTGGCTATAGGACATCAGCTATTTAAGTCTGATATCAGTTGGGGAAAAGTGATCTCCATATTCGCAATAGCCGGAGGATTAGCCGTTGACTGTGTGACGCAGGGGCATTCAGAATATATCAACGCTCTAATGGATGGGATGGAGGAAATACTTAGAGTTGATTTAGGCACTTGGATTGCTAGCAACGGCGGATGGGTAACGTTTACAGCTGCATTTTCAGTCACGTAATTTAATTTTCCTTTTTTCTTCAAATTCTAGCCCGCATTAACCCATTTGTGTCGAACGGAAGACGACGAAGTTACGCTCATTGAATACGTTACCTTAGTTATTATAGTCTTACTTTTGATATTGATTTTCTACTTCATATTTCGCCTTTTAGTAAGATTAGGAATTTTTTAACAACTAACTTATTTATTTGATATCTGTATATTACATAGTAAGAACAAATTAACGAATCAATGTATAATTAGATTAATATTTATCTTTGTTATACCTGAATAATTTGTAATAACTTTTATTTTTTATTAATTACATTTTTTTTGTCTAATTTCCTTTGTATTTTCAAATCCAATTTGTATTACCCAATATTTTTGTGAAAAATGATATGTACTCAATACGGATCATTTTTACACGATTTGCGTTTCCACATATTTTGAGATTTTCAAAAACATAAACCATTAGCTATCTTTTTGCTTACTAAAATGTAAGTTTTAAATAGTTTTGCCTATGTCTGTAAGAAAACAATTGGGTTTGAACGAGGCTACACTAAAAATAATCAAAAAGAAAGAATCCATAATTAGAAAATATATGTTTTTATGTCAAAAACCAATTTTCTAACATTTCATATTACTGTATATATTTTATATATATTCTTCAGAAAATTATCTTCCATGTATAAACAGATTTAAGTGTATAAATTTTTTAACTTGAGTGTTAATGTTAGGTGCAAAAGTATATATGTAATATGGACTTATATATATATTAACATGGACTTAACGTAAAAGTTTTAATTATATGTGTACACCAATATTACATAATTACTAAAAAAAAATCTGTATTCAGTTTAAAAACAATGACTTATGTACATTTGGTTGCCTATGCTATTTAATTGTAAAAAGTGTCATATTTCTTTTGATTTACTATACTTATTTTTACACAACAGCGAATTAAGATTAAATTCTGGATGGTTTCGGAATTGAAAGAAGAAAATTAAAGTTTTTATTATTTTTACTAATACTATTATTTTCTAATAAGTTACATATTTTTAAATTATATAGTATGAATACAATTAATATTATGTTTGAAGCTAATTGACTATGCAACACACATTCACTATTAAAATATCAAGTGTATAATATAAGAGTAGTAAAACACGACGCTCCTATAACGTCGCACTCTCATAATGGGATTTATAAAAATTGACAAAAATGAAGTAAGTTAAAATGAATAGTAATTATACTATTTCGAGAAGTTACTATAAAATCTAAAGTTTAGATAAAGATATATCTGCCTCAAATGTCTTGGTAGCAAAATGTGAATAAAGAATGGATTGACAAATTCTATGGTATGAATAAGGGACTTAATTTAGGTAAAGCATTAGAATTATGTTTTCATTGAAAGAGATACGAAATAATCAGATTTGTACTTATTCTGAGTTTCTTACCAATTCGCGTTAGAGAATGATTGAATATATAATAAATTAAATGGAACAAAATATGTTCATTTAAATTAAAATTAAATGCATTACAATAAACCCGTCAAAATGATGGATATAAGATAAATAAGTATACAATCAATATCCCATCAATACAAGAGTCTCATATTTTAGGATTAGTGAAGTGATATTATGAAGCAACTTGCTCCTACGTAATTTGTTCAGCGTTCGTTATCTTTCAAGAAACTTTCGTCCGCAAAGTTTTATTGACTTTGTTTCAAAGCTTTATCTTGTTTTACCCTCTCGAATGAATAATATATTACGTTTATGGGAAATGAGTTCTCACTTTACTGACATGGTAAACTAATTAATACGTAAAAGAGGAAAATATCTGCTTACAATATTCTAATATTTAATTTATAATTGACATCTTGCATGACATATATAAGAACATTACATTAAATAACAGTTCATAATTAATATACATTAAACCTAACTAGATAATATAAATTGCATGTTTTTAAAAGTAACAAAATTTGATCAATTTATTAAAAAGCCAATGGATAACAAAAATTCGGAATAATAATACACATTAATTAAATTTATCATCCAAGTTCATTATGTAAGTTCCACATATACACGAATACTTCCTATAGTATTAGAAACCGGACTATTCGAGGGCTGCTATACTGCATATAAATCAATTGCAAAAAAGACTTGACTGCATAGATTGAAAGAGCATTCATTTATTTATACAAAATAATTTTGTGTACTATAGTTTTTAGAATTTACTTTTAATTTTCTTAATTAAAATTAAGTTTCTTTTGAAATTTCCTAACCGTATTATAATAAATGCGTAGCGAAGTCTCACAATGCGTGGAAATACTGTTTGTTTCTATGTATCTGTAGTAATGTTTCAATTTGTTGCATCTAAACATTTTTTTTAAATGACATAATTTATTTTTCAAATTTTACAATTTAATAGTTTTTATAAAACTTAATAATGATATTGTACATCAAGAAAAAATATAGTTTATTACTATATAATATTTTTTACACTGCTGGATTGATGAATTAAATACAAATATTTATTTTTTTCCGTATGAGCATTTTTTGGACTTAGTATTTTCTCATAAAGCTTTTTTTTCTAGTTTTCATTATTCGTTCTACATTATTCATATCAAATAAAATTCATTACTTTTTTTTAATTACTATAGGCAATTAATTAATCTTTGCTAATTTATTTATATAAATATTTCACTGACGGACTTTTACTTTACTAGAAAGGTGATATTTTGTAACATAATGCACAATTTGCATAAGTAAAATTCGCATTTTTTTTGCAAGTATGGTTAATGTATACAATATGTAGAGAAATTGTATGTTATTTTTTTTTGTCCAGAATAATTTAGCATTAATGTATATGCTTTAAGTCGCCCCATTGTTTATTACTCATGAATTTGCAACACATTCTAACAAATATTTAGGACATTCTAAAACGAAAATATCATTTTTTTTTTCATTTATTTTTAAGTATGAGTGAAAAGAAATATGAATGTTTCAACTAATTTCTTTTGAACTAATATTGATATTTCATACTTTGGTCGTTATCACATTGGCCTAAATTAATAATACTCCCTCTGTCCGAATTTGAAGACTAAAATTTAGTTTTTTTAAGAAAAATGTAAGCCAAATAACGTGAAATTACAAAGAAAATATGCCAAATCGAAGCAATTGTCATGGTATCTTTCAACAGCTGTTACAGTGAATGAATGATAAAGAAAAATTAGAACATAGTTCTTCTGATGGTTGGATTATTCAATTTAAGTCACAACCACTACCGATTTAAACGTTCTCGATTTGGGTTTTAATCACTGCAATATGAAGCTTCGCAAAACACAATTGATGAATTGATTGAATGTTTTCAAGATGCATTTAATAAATTAGAGAAAAATACTCTTGATAATGTTTTATAACATTACAAACGTATAAGGACTCAACTATGATAAAAGGAGGAGGAAATTCCAATAAATTTTCTCATATAAATAAGGTAAAACTTCGTGTATAGAAAATGTATTTGTTCAAAGGAAGCATTCAACAAGGTTAAATCTAACTTTAACTAAATTTGGATTACACTAAAATTATTTGTATTTAGTTATATTGTGATAATAAAATTAATTTATTTTTTTTCGCAAATGTGTACCATATTTTCGGACAGAGTAATATTTATTGCAACAATAAATTACAAAATATATACTCAATATAATAATAAAAATAAAAAAAGTCAACTGCTACAAAAGTTTATTGAAACTATTCATCATTATTATAAGAAATAAACAAGAAATAAAGTTATACAGATGTCTCAGTCAATGGTTTTCGAAAATAATGTTAGTATGTTAGAAAACCTTGCTAGCAACGAAGACAAATTTAAAGAAGTTCCTGCTGAAAAAAAATCAAATAAAGGTGCTTAAATAAAACGTTTTATGTTTTTTTAGTGAATACATTATTTAGAATGCAGTATTAATCTTAAGCAATAATTATTAAATATAATAACTTCGTATAGCCAATTATTAAATAAAAGAGAAAGAAGCAGAAACAATCAGTTGAGTCTTTTATTTAATAAAAGTTTCTTTGTTCGAAAGAGAGCTTTCTAATTTGTTTCTAAAGGGACGTATCTCTATTATGGATATTATATTTTTACCTCTGACAAAGTTTCGCTTATCAGCGTAATTTCATGGAACGCATACGTTTTGTTAATCATGGTATGACTTCAATCATTGAATATGAGTTTTTTTGTAAGTATTAAGGTTGAAATATTAATTATAATTTAAGTACCTATTAAACATTTATTAATAAATACACTAATCAAGTATACACATTCATTTACTTAAATGTTAATTACATGAATATATTACATTTATTAGATTATGAAGAGAATCTAATACATGTTGATACACTTAATAGTAATAATTAATAGAGAGATAATAATCTCTAATAAATGGGTGTGCATTAAATTATAATAAAAACGGTGTATTTATAAAATTAACATAATTTAATTTGTCATTGCTGTGATACTACTTATTCTTTTAGGCGTTTGTTACATAATGACGGAGTGCCGATAGACTAGCATTGTTTAGCATCACAATTCATTTCATTCCTTTCAGCGTGGGCGAAACGGATTTCGGCTTAGGTTGCAAAATTATACGTTTAGAAAATTATTATGTGACATATTTGTACCAGAATAATATGAGTATATAAATACCGAGATTTTTAATTTACGAGCATCAGTACAGTCTACCGACACAAACCAGAAACATCTACAGATATGTTCAGCAAAGTAAGTAATTATAATTGTTCATTATTTTGTAGAGTACCTCAATTTTTGTTATTCAGATTTTAGCTATCGCCGCGTTTGTAGCTTGCGCTCAAGCCGGAGTCTTTGAATTGGAACATCCTGGAGCCACTTCTTATTCCCATCTCAACAAGAAAATTTCCACATTGCATGCTGCTCCAGTAGCGCACATTGCTCATGTTGCTCCGATTGCCCATTATGCACCACTAGCCACTTACCATGCTGCTCCCGTTTCCCATTTTGCACCAGTAGCCACTTATAATGCTGCTCCAGTTGCTCATTATGCACCAGTAGCCACTTACCATGCTGCTCCCATTGCTCATATTGCAACTCCAGTGCTTCATCAAGAAATTTATGAAGATTCTCATCCAGAGTACTCTTTCCAATATGGAGTTAACGATGCACACACTGGAGATGTTAAGGATCAACATGAAGAACGTGATGGAGATGTAGTCAAAGGCTTTTATTCGCTTGTTCAACCTGATGGAGTAACCCGTACCGTTCATTACACAGCTGATGAACACAACGGATTCAACGCTGAAGTTGAGTACAAAGGGGAGCCGGTTGTTCAGAAAACTGTCATAGCTTAAACAGTTACTCGCTTTAGAGCTGCACCAGTATTGCACACTTACCATCAATATTTTTTAATAATTTTGTATGTAACAAATCATAATATTTTGTATTAATAAATAATATAAGTAATAAAATATAAATGCTAAATTTAATTGTCTTTAGTTGTCCCTAAATCTATTGATGTAGCTGAGAGAAGTGGAATGTAAATACAACATTTAAATATATAATAAATACAACAGATATTATAGTTTGATAATAATCTTGAAGACGAATAATCTTGTTTGACGATCATTAAAATGTATTTATTTTTTTGAATATACAAACAAATAAGTACTTTTATGTTCTAATCCTCCATTAGCCATATTTTAATAAATGTTTTACTAAGTATATTACTTACCGAATCTAGTAAATACGGCTGTATTATAATACTAATTCGGATATTATTTTATTCAGCTAAAATAATTTCAAAACACGAATTGATAAAAATATATGTAAATATAAATCAAATATATTTAAATAGCTATTAAATAACAATAATATTCAAAATTCTGAAGAATACAAATTAGAATACATTTATATACAAAATAATGATTGTAAAAACAACTATTACATTTTTGTAAAGGAACCAAAAATTACTATTATTACAATTTATAAATTAATATATAATTTTGACTATTTGTAATGGAAATAATTTCAAAAACAAAATAATATAATTTGAAAATAAATGAATGAAATACAATAACAATTTTACAAACTTAAATTAAATGTAACTGGTCAAAGAGCGATCGAGCTTTCGTCTAAATAAATTTTATAAAAAACTATTATATAAGAATTATATATTATATAATTTTGAATAATATTTAATAGTTAAAAATCCTAATAATTAAAAACTATTTTAAGTTTTTTTTTTCGTGCATTTTTGTTGAAGCCGGTTGTTTTTCTTTGCGCGCATTTATAATCTTTTGGCATTATCCATTTTATCATTCTTAGTACTATATTTTACTATTCCTGGAGTTGTTGGCTTGATTATCTCTTGAACTGTTAAGCTCCACTAACAGTTTTCTATTTCTTAATGTACGCACCTTTTGTTTTTTCGACTTTTCTATAATTTCTGTATATTTTACCTTTGTAATCAGGCCCAAACTTTCTAAGAAGTTTATTTTAATTGGACCAACGTTTTTATCATCAATAATAGCATCTTTGAAAACTTTCTTTATTTCTTCATTTTGTTGACGTTTGTTTTGATTTGGCACATCTATTATCAATTTTGTAGTTTCTTGAAGAATCGATTTATTGCTTGAACTTTGGAGTTTCTCTTCTATTAAATGTAACTTTTGTTTATTTAATGTACTTCCTTGTTTTTTATTCTTTTTCATAACGTCTTTATACATTGTCTTCGATATCAGTCTCAAGTTCTCAAAGAAGTCTATTTTTTCATGGTTTGGTGAAGCTGCTTGTATTATTCGGCAATCTTCTATATTATTACAAACTAATGTTGAAGTTGACTGAGAATAGATTTTCTCTTTTTCCATATATAAATCACAATTTGTTATATTATTATGTAGATTGGCATCCTCCATCTTACCTATACAAGAAGGTATATCATCATCAGGAAAGGCAATTGTCTCGGAGAACTCACTCATTGCTTTAAATACAAACAACTATTGAGGATCTCAATAGCTTTACTCATTTGAAAGAAATTATGAACTATTTATCCAAACATTCTGAATACCCTTGTATGGGCCATGCTGCGCAAATAACATCTGCGCAAGCTTTACAAATAACTAATGAGTTTACTCAATAGAATGTACCATAAAATGAGTGTATAGTAATAATAGTAAATTCAAAATATATTTCTTAAAATCTACAAATGTAGTCTTTTTATCAGTAAAATTGTATTATAATTATATTTGGCGCAGTCTGCGGTCAATACGTTAATAAATATAACAAATGTTGTTTATAATTATTTTTATATATTGAATTGAATTGCAAACATCATAATATGTAAATAAATTAATTCTACTTTAAATAATATTGGTAACTGACGTGCTCGACCATTTTATTATCATCTATTGTATAATTAATATGTATATTTGTTAGGTCTACCACTTTCTTCTTAATTATTACAAAGCATATTTAACGTATCCATCAAATATACAAACGGATACTTGTTCGTGATTATTTTGAATAACTTGTGGAATATTCCGAAGAACGGCCCTTAAATATTTGGGTAGGATCATAAAACTTAGATAAAGAAAGGATTGTATTTTCTACAAGGTTAAAACTGATTTCTTTACCTTCCACGCAGCCCCTTTTTAAAATGGACACATTTTGGAGGGCTCTTAGTTGGAGGGCAATGGAAGAGAAATGTCTTCCTAATTATTAACTTAAGAGGAGAATGTAACTCTTAGTTAATAATCCATGAGATCAACTATTGTATAGTTGACTTCTCAATAAAAACTCTGATGTATACAATAAAACTAATTAAGAATATTGCATAAGATTCCACAACGACATAACTACGAGATAATCCACAGTATCTAGAGATTTCTTAATCGCGGGACACGACAATGTGAAGTTATAAATTTCATACAAAAATATAACCATTATTTCATGTCTTTTATCGTTAGAATACATATAGTTTTAGAAAATTGAACCAAATTCTAATAAATATATTTATTATATCAATTCTCAGAAAATGATAATATTGGAGAGAAAGACCTATAGACCTTTGTAGCAGTTGATCTTTTAAGAAAATGTTTCATCTTTTATTTGACTGTTTCAATATCATTATAAGTTAGAATATAAAATCGGTCATTGTTTATTTACAAGCATCAGTACAGTTTACCAATAAAAACTAGACATATCTAAGCAAAGTAAGTAACTATAATTGTTCCTATATAATTGTTGATCTCGCGTCAAAATCCGTCGAAAAATAATCGACAGCGATTGTGTAAAGAAATATATCGGTTTTATGTATACAGATATTGATAAATATTAGTACTGAGTGACAGTTCTAAACTTATTAAAATACACAAGAAGATAAACAGGTAATATTATATAACTAGCGTACTCAATCCACGTTTTAGTCATTAACATTAATTATTTTTTCTCTGTTCAAATTTGATCCAAAGGGTTAACGACTTAAGTAATTAATTAGATTTAGAAAATAACTTTTTATTTGTTGTATGTATAACAACACAATTAATAAAAAAAGATTAATATATTTAAAAAATTCTCGGGATTATATCATATAAATAATCAATCAAATTTATTCATAATTCTGACGAATACATCTTACAAATATATTTATATACATAATAATGACAAACTATAACAGAATAATTATTCAGTTCTTTGAACAATACATTTAATTATAAGTTCCTCTTCGTCTAAATGTATTTTCGGTATATTTAGTATATTCTACATTTGTTTATTGTTGCGAACAATTTCCTTCTTTCCTCGTTTTGGTAATTAGGCCCAAATTTTCAAAGAAGTTTATTTTTATAAGATCAATGTTTTCTACATCAGAAATAGCATTTTTGCTAACTTCTATAATTTGCTCATATTGTTGAGATTTCTTATTTTTTGTCACGTTCATTAAATTTGCTTGCTGCTTTTTTTCTATAGTCAAATATTTTGTAGTTTCTTGAATAATTGTTTCATACCCATTGCTTGAACTTTTCAGTTCCTCTTTCTTGTAATTTACTTTTGGTTTCTTTAATATATTTCCCATTTGCTTTTCTTTTTTGCCTACAAGATCCTTATATTTAGTTTTTGTAATTAGACCTAAGCTTTCAAAAAAGTGTAATTTTACACTTGTACTATCTTCAACAGTTCCTTGCGTTGTTGAATTTGGGCTACAGCTCAAGATGTTAGGTTCCAGTTCCCGTGAAAGTAACTTCAGTTTTCTTGAATTATGCACAGTATGTTTCTTCGTTTTGTCCATAATTTCTGTACATTTTGCTTTTGTAATAAGGCCCAAACTCTCAAAGAAGTTATTTTTTTCATGATTTTCTGTAACTGATGATGATATTGGGCAATCTTCTATATTATTAGAAACTAATGTTGAAGTAGACTGAAAACTTTCCTCTTTTACCGTAAGTAAATTACAATTTGTTTGGTTATTATTTTGTTCGTATTCCTCCATAGTCGAAGGTATATCGTCGTCGGAAGAGACAATTGTCAGTGAGTATTCAATGTTTGACATCTTGTAGTGAATTGTGAACTATTTATACAAAAATCCCTACTAACCTTTTAAGATGCTCACTGCGCAAGCTTTGCAAATTACTTATGGAATAATACTCAAATACAATATACCATACAATTTGTATAGTTATTTGGAAGTAATTGTGAGGTACTTATCGTAAAATGTTCAATAAAGTTTTATGACACTCACATTGTAAATACTTTCTTCAATAATAATAAAAATTGTTATAAAACAAATTTCATTTACTAATAACAAATTCTGTTGAGTGTATGCATGCAATAAATATATTTTAAAAATTAAAAATAAGTTGAAATTGATATAATCTATCAATATTTAAAAATTAATATCATATAATTATTACAAGAAAAAACATTATTTAAACATATTTTACAACAATTTTGTATACAAAGTTCAATTTATAAGAATCATATTTTATTTACTAAAATAATATACATTTAAAATATAAAAACAACTCTAAATATAAACAAATTACAAAATAATTAAATTAAATAAACAATTAGAAAACAAATATTAATTAAATCAAAGCATATTATCATCCTTATAACTACCTAAGTTTATTGCTTTACTGTAAAATAAATTACCAAGAATTACCAGAATTCTCGGATTTTTTTTTTTAATTCTGAGAAATATGTAGTGATAATCACGGGTACGCAACAAGTCGGCGACAGATACTGAAAAAAATATTTTTAAGAAATTATTATAACAATATATAATAATTAAAATAAATTAAAATATATTTATTAATAACAATAAATTCATTTTAATTTAGGTATATTATGATCAGTCAACGATAACAAATATACTAATAATAAATTACAACAAT